CTCTGGTATGGGGAAGTACATACCAGACTACTCTTCAGCCATTGTTTGTTTTACAAAAGAAAGCTGTACGTATTCTAACTAATTCTAGTTTTCGTGAACATAACAGTCCGATTTTTAAATATTTGAATTTTCTTAAATTATGTGATTTGGTATCCTTTGGTATCCTAACTGTAAGTAGCCAACATAACTATGGTACTAGATTATCTACTAAGCAGTCATTTTTGCTCCCTAAAGCTAGAACTAATTACGGAATTTTTAATATCAGATTTCAAGGGGCTAAAATTTGGAATTTCAATACGGACAATCTTAAATCTCATTCTTTAAAAAAATTTAAACTGAGAGTTAAAGAAAGCTTCCTTGAGAAATATTAATTTTTCTTACATAACAATGTTTTGCAACTTTCATAAATTTTTGTTGTATGTTTATTTTGGCTTTGTTTCTTTTTGTTATAATTCGTCCTTGTATTTGGTGCTAGTTATTTAAATAAGATGACCAAGTAAAATCAACTGACTGCCAGCTTTTCTAGCCCTTTGGTTATTTTGGCAGCCAGTACTCATAAAAAATTATTAAAAATGTGTGTATACTAGCTTTGAATGTATGTTTTTTTTTAGTAATAAATTGTATTGTATTGTATTGTAAATAAGCACTTCTATACGTATGATTAAAAGCTTTCCGATTGTGTGAGTTGATCATATCCTTTTTAATTAATAATTCACACGTCAGTCTGTATTATATTGTCTGGCACCATGTTTCAAAAAGTGCATACAGTAACTCAAGTAATAATTATATTGTTTATTATATTATATTGTATTGTATTATAAAAGTGTAGACGGCTATTCAACTATTGAAAAAGGACTTAAGTTAAACCTTCTTCAATGAAAACAACGAAAGTGTTGAATATTTAAATGTATATCAGTCTTTTTATGTGGGCTTTCCCAAACGACTAGTGCATTACCACTTCTAAGAGCAAATAAGTTGTATATATTGATGAAAAAACTGCCTGGTTATCTATTCGAATAGTTTATTTAAATACGACTGTTTTGTTGCACAAACGACTTTCGCTAAACGTAACACAGAACTAATCTTCCTCTGCCAGATTCATGAGGCTATCAGCAAAGAAAAGAGATCTCGAGATGCCAGACGTACTAACTACGCCATAGTTAAAAACAATGCACGTAAGTATACGAATGCAAGAATATTAGAATAACAACATCTCCATTTCCAGATCAAAATTCTATATTGCCGCTTATACTCGCTGTCAACTATGATCATGATTCGCTGTCGTCGTCAGTCAAAATGCGAACCAAAGCTTATAAATACAGGGTGAGTCGAAAAAAGCTGACACGTTTGAAATTCAAATTAGCCGCATAGCGGCTGTAATGTGACAGAAGTTGCCTAAAATATTTCATGGGTATACGAAGCATTCATATTAATTAACCTAAAACATAAAGTTTCTCCCCATTGGGAGTTAAAATGCATTCCGCTAAGATCTGTAAATACAAAAGAACAGTTTTATCAAATCGTTTTTGTTGATTGTACACGGGAATTGTCATATTCCAGCAATACGTTCGCAGCTCATTTGAATTTCAAAGGTGTCAGTTTTTTTTGACTCACCCTTTATAAATAAAATTCTGTCTTTTAATATATATGGCCCTGACGTACGTCTCTGCAAAGGTCTTTGTCTAGGTCTTAATGGGGTCATTGTTCATGGCAAGATGTTTACATTAGATATTCACATTAGATGTGATAACCAGGGTTGGTAGATAGCTGCATATTTGAGGCCAAACAAGATCACACTAGTTCTTTGTTTCCTTTGTCTTTGCCTTTTGTTTTCTTTGTTTTCTTGATAGCACTAATGACAATTTGGCCTCAAATATTTGCATGTCTACCAACTCTGCATGGTGATAGCACTCGCTAGTCGTTCAAGGCCAAATCGACAAATTCATTAATTTTAGTTTGACAACCGCATGGGCTTTTAGCAGCTCCAATGTTATAATGCGACGTTTATTTGAGCCTCAATATAGAGAGAGAATTTGATCGCACTTGTTCTACATCCTGAACACTTGGGCGTTCGAGTTCAATAGTGGTAAGACCCAGTGACTTTGAGTACTAAATTATACGTCTGAATATTATAGCTTATGTATTTGGTTGAGATTTGTTTACTGCCATTGTTGTGCTGCGAGATATATTTCAAAATGACGGGCTTATTTATGCGAGGAGTGACAAGATATCGATCGATAGTTTAATACTGGCGCTCCCAGCTTATAGACAAGTAACAAGTTCAACGGTTCGGTAATATTCCTACAGAAATTGGATGAAATTTCTGTTTATTTGAAGCTTAGCCAATACAAAAGTGTACAGTTCACAATGATTCACTCATCCACGCTCTGCTCAGGGGCATCGTTAAATAGGTCATCCACTGTGTCGATGTACAGTTAAGACTTTAGTTTAGAGTTTTTCTACAAACTATAGTTTAATTTATGAATTCGGCTTTTGTCATTTCGAATTCCGAGATATACTTCCCATCATTTCAGCTGGGTAATCGAAATCTTATAACGATTCACTACATTTGCATCCTTTACGGACAAATAAAGCTGGGAGATTCCTTTCCGGAAACGAATAGATATATTGTACTTGAAACCAAGTGTAATTTGATGTTTACCACGTCACCTTGCCTGAGACAGGAACTTCTACATCGCAAACAGTGAAATGTTAAAATGACCTTTCGTGATGAATTATAAAATATTTCGGACCTACTTTCTTTGACATAAACTCCTTAAGACATTTTCGTCTTTCTAGACCAATTTCTTTTGTGTTTCTTTGGCCCTTAAAAGTGCAGTATACTGTGGATAAACAAAAGAATATACACTGGCGGTGAAAAAGAACTGCTCAAATGTTAATATTGTCGCCACAATCAATCTTTTATTGTACACTAGTGGTCAAAAAGAGCTGTTTAGATACAAATTCATAAAGAAGAAGCGAATATAGGAGAGAGCTTCATAGGTATTTTGGATAATTCTCTTATTCCAAGCAATATTTCAGTAATGTAATGCAACCTGCCACACTTCTAAGATAGTCAAATAATGGTTCCAAGAAGGGGGAGTGACAGAAATGGATTGGCCTGCACAGTCAAAATACCTTAACCCTATTGAAAAGCTGTGGGACAATGTCAAGGGGATAATGCAAGAAAGAAAGAAATTCATAAAGCCTCCATGATTTATGGGTTCCTGTAAAGACTGCCCATAGGATGAATTTCTTTTGACCGCTAAGATTACCACCTTAACAAAAAGTATGCCACGCCGGTGTAAGGCCGTCATCAATTATAAGGCCAAAGGAGGGCAACAAAAAATTCATATTTCATATAGCTTAGCATGTAATCTACTCTATATTTACTCGTACATATTGTTAGAGGGACAGTTACCTTCATTTGAGAGTATTTTAACTTGTTTTGAGCAGTTCTTTTTGACCGCCAGGGTATATATATATACATATATAAAACGTAAATTTGAGCGGTTCCTAGATTCACATAAGGAAACTCGACGAATTCGTCTGACATAATTATTCCTCTACGTACGACGTTCGTCTAGATGGCTTGTCTAGTTTTATATATATACTCAGACAAATGATCTGTCCGACGACCATTCTTCTTGATAGATAATCCGTCTCTGTTATAAATTGGGCCAATTTATGAGCATATATATATATATATATATATATATATATATATATATATATATATATATATATATATATATGTATATATATATATATATATATATATATATATATATATATAACTTTTGCAGCGTAAGCGTTAAGATGACGCAGGTTTACGCCTACAATCGGCCCACCAGTCGTGTAACGATTGAAATTCGATTTAAATGATATTCATTGTTAATGCCCTTTTTTTAATATTGGACACCTTTTAACTCCAATCTTATTTGCCAGTGGATCATTACGACAGAGTCGAGAAGCGAACCTAATATGTGCTTTGCTATGAACGTGATGTAAAGCAATGACTGACGCCATTATTATTATTATGAAGCCATGACTGACGTGATTATTATCACGAGATAGTCAACAGTTTCCCCCAGTTGCGGTTCAGGGCTACGCAGTGTAGTAGAACTCCTCAGAATCGCCCAATCGCATTGGGGATTTTTATTTAAAATTACACTTGACTAATAGCGTTGGTATTAAGGTGTTTTGAATTTACAATTAAGCCTTTTCTTATTCCCCTATCCCTAGATCTGCCACTGTTTCCATTTCAATTTTTTCATATCAATTTTCTATATAAATCGAAAAGTCAAAACAAATCGACAAACTTTCCTTGAAAGACTCAGTGCTTTAAACTCGTACAAAAAGCCTCCAAAACTCGTACAATGCATGGTTATGATAACTCGTTCTAAACTGACTTTTGTGTTAATGTCATGTGTATCTCGAAACAATGCTTCCTATGGTAACCCATGGTAACGACTGAAATTCGATTTAAATGATATTCATTGTTAATGCCCTTTTTTAATATTGGACACCTTTTAACTCCAATCTTACTTGCCAGTGGATCATTACGACAGAGTCGAGAAGCGAACCTAATATATACTTTGCTATGAACGTGATGTAAAGCAATGACTGACGTCATTATTATTATTATGAAGCCATGACTGACGTGATTATTATTATCACGAGATAGTCAACAGTTTCCGCCCAGTGGCGGTTCAGGGCTACGCAGTGTAGTAAAACTCCTCAGAATCGCCCAATCGCATTGGGGGATTTTTATTTAAAATTACACTTGACTAATAGCGTTGGTATTAAGGTGTTTTGAATTTACAATTAAGCCTTTTCTTATTCCCCCTATCCCTAGATCCGCCACTGTTTCCGTTTCTATTTTTTCACATCATTTTCTATATAAATCGAAAAGTCAAAACAACTCGACAAACGTTCCTTGAAAGACTCAGTGTTTACAATCACTTAAACTCGTACAAAAAGCTTCCAAAACTCATACAATGGTTATGATTACTCGTCCTATACTGCTTTTTGTTTTCATGTCGTGTGTATCTCAAAACAATGCTTCCCATGGTAAGTTCTGAGTTAACCAATTGTCACTTTTTGACTAAGATATGAAATTCATAAACATAGGCCGGCGATTCGTTACGTATCGATTTTAAGCTAGGTCGTCGTGTTGATATCAAGGTAATGACTAGCTAACGTAAAACATGTTCCTGACAAATTTTATTTGTATTTTATGTATTTTTCAAATTATTTCATAGGATGTCCAAAGAACTGGGAAAATTTCGGTAACTCTTGTTACACCTTTGTTCATATTGGCAAAAGCTGGCAGAATTCAAACAGTGATTGCGAGAATAAAGGAGGTCAGCTTGCTAGAGTTTCAGGAAAGAAACTCAACCGTTTTCTCCATGAAATGTATAGAATCGCTAAGAGTGGAATCAACTTATGGATTGGTCTTAAGAGATGTTCGCCCAATAGTGCACAATGGTGCTATCCAAATAAAAAATTAGCAAACTACACAAACTGGGCACCCGATATCCCTGACGAAAATGGCGACTGCGTTGAAATGCTTGACATTGGCGTCTTGGGTAATCGTCCCTGCAGTGATAAAAGGCCTTACGTTTGTGAAATGGGTATGTCATTTACTTAGGACATATATTTATTATAATCAATAATAAATATATTTTTTATTTAAGGGTTAGAGACTGTTGTGAGTGTTTTGTTGACAAATAAACGCACGCGCTGACCATACAATGAACGAGAAATTTCAATATTGCACGAGGCCGTAGGCCGAGTGCAATATTGACATTTCGAGTTCATTGTATGGTCAGCAAGTGCGTTTATTTGTAAACAAAACACGAACATAAAGTCTCTAACACTTTTAATATACAATCTGAGTTCATTGATTGCTGCATTGAAGATTTAAGCTTCGCTGCAGGCTGTCATTTTTGAATAAACCACGATTTTCATGGGTTATTGCGAATAAACCACGATTTTCGTGGGTTATTGCGAATAAACCACGATTTTCATGATCTGTCGCCAGGCAACAAGAAACCACGTGATTGATTTTGACCAATCGCGTGAGTAGATTTAGGCCAATGCACGAAGATTGTATATTAAATTCAATTTTGACGACCAATATTTTCATGACATATATCATGTTATACAAAAGTGTCACCTCTTATACGACATGTGAATATACGTTCACGATTTTGCTTTATTGCATGATTTTATGTTTCCCCTTTTGATGCAATTGGACTAAGATGTGTTTACAAACGCACTGAGTATGGGAAGAAAAAGAACTCTTTAATAGTGAAAAATAGTTACAAATCTTTTATATCTTGTTATAAGTTGTATGATAGTATGACTGGTGCTTCATCTTTGAAAATGAATTTAAGGCACATGATGGTTTTAAGGCACACATCATCAACGAAATTCAAAACATAAATCACCAGGAGCCGGTTGTATCAAGCGGTGGATAAGTCCTAATTAGATAACACTCTTAAATCTCTCTTAAATGAGTAAACTTGAATATTATGCACTGAATATGTAGTCGTAAAGAGTATCTTTGTATTAGCTAAGGTAAAAAACATTTTGTTTGCCTGTTGAATCAAACGATAGATTTGCTTTCTACTTTGACCTTAACCACGGCCTTGATACAAAGCCGGATAGCGCTATCTGGGTTTTTAGAAAGAAATTGTCATCAGTTGTAAGGCACATGCAAAATTACGATTGGGTCTCACACCGGAGCTGACAATAAAGGTTTTTCCCGAAATGGGACGATTTGCAAAAGTTACGTCAGCATATGTATTTGACTGTTTACTATGTGGATGCTAAATAATTTGGAGTTTTGTTCAATTAGGTACAAAATATTCTTAAATTTTATTCAATAGATTTTGATGAGTGCATGCTGGAAACACACAGATGCCATTCTCTCGCAACGTGCAACAATACGATTGGATCATATACCTGTACATGTAATCAAGGATTTACTGGCAATGGGACCATTTGCGAAGGTATAGTGACGTCAGTAAACGCTCATGACTATATTTAAATAGAGTACCAAATATTTTCAAATTTGAATAGACTTTGAAGAGTGCATACTTGACACGCACAGATGTCATTCTCATGCGAAATGCAAGAATACCATTGGGTCATATACCTGTACTTGTAACGAAGGATTTACGGGAAATGGATCCTTTTGCGAAGGTATAGTAACGTCAGTATACGCTCATGACCGCATCAAATTGGAGAACTAAATATTTTCAGATTTAAATCAATGACGTCGATGAGTGCATGCAGGAAACACACGGATGTCATTCTTAAGCCACGTGCGACATTACGATTGGATAATACACATGTGCTTGCAATGAACGACTTTCAGGAAATCTGGAAATAGGACCATTTAGTCAGGTGTTATTGTAAGCATAAAGTTAACACTCCTTAGCTTTATCTATTATTTCATTGTTCAGAATGGCCCTATTGTGCAATGAGGAAAAACGCAGTTTTAAACCTCGGGGCATTCTTTCAACACTAATACGTTATGCTCTGTCGAAAATTTTCTAATTTGTTTCTATCGATAGGAAAGCGACAATCGAGGTTTAATTAATAACTGGTCCCCAGTCGCTTACCTAAGGCGCCATTAATGATGGGGCGCGCTGAATGATGGGAAGACGAAGGGGTATTCCAAAATAGCCTAGCAAATAGCCTCGGAGTATTCCCATGATCCTTTGCGTCATCAATTTTATCGCTTTGTTAGGGACTGTGGAGGAGTCAGGTTTAATTATGCGTAAACAAAATGGCTACCTGAAGAAATCAAACGGGTATACGACGGTTATGAATATAATTTTAGCCAACCGTCTATTATGGATTCTAGGGACGGCCTTGGCAGAATTCACTAATAAAAATTGTCATTAAACTACGTCGATTGTACGACGAGAAAATTAATATAAGATTTGAAGAAAATAAATAAGATAAACACTAAAAATTACCCCTTTGAAGAAGAGAGGATGATGTATATTATAAGATACAGAAATGCGTATTAAAACATAATCATTTAATTGCATTAAATATCTTTCAAAATAAATGTTTTTTTAATTTCAAAACACGTAAATAAGAATAAGAATGAGAGGGATGTAAATATAGCATATAATGCTCCAATTTTTTGCTTGCTAACTTGCTTAATAACACTCTTAAATCTCTCTTAAATGAGTCAACTTGAATATTATGCACTGAATATGTAGTCGTAAAGAGTATCTGTGTATTAACTAAGGTAAAAAACATTTACTTCGCTTGTTGAAATAAACGATAGATTTACTTTCTATTTTGAACCTAACCACGGGCTTGATACAAAGCCGGATAGCGCTATCTGGGTTTTTAGAAAGAAATTGTCATCAGTTGTAAGACACATTAACAATTACGATTGGGTCTCACACCTGAACTGGCAATAAAGGTTTTTCCGGAAATGGGACAATTTGCAAAAGTTTCGTCAGCATATGTATTTGACTGTTTTCTATGTGGATGCTAAATAATTTGGAGTTTTGTTCAATTAGGTACAAAATATTCTTAAATTTTATTCAATAGATTTTGATGAGTGCATGCTGGAAACACACAGATGCCATTCTCGCGCAACGTGCAACAATACGATTGGATCATATACCTGTACATGTAATCAAGGATTTACTGGCAATGGGACCATTTGCGAAGGTATAGTGACGTCAGTATATGCTCATGACTATATTTGAATAGAGTACCAAATATTTTCAAATTTGAATAGACTTTGTAGAGTGCATACTTGACACGCACAGATGTCATTCTCATGCGAAATGCAAGAATACCATTGGGTCATATACCTGTACTTGTAACGAAGGATTTACGGGAAATGGATCCTTTTGCGAAGGTTTAGTAACGTCAGTATACGCTCATGACTCCATCAAATTGGAAAACTAAATATTTTCAGATTTAAATTAATGACGTCGATGAGTGCATGCAGGAAACACACGGATGTCATTCATAAGCCACGTGCGACAATACGATTGAATAATACACATGTGCTTGCAATGAACGATTTTCAGGAAATCTGGAAATAGGACCATTTAGTCAGGTGTTATTGTAAGCATAAAACTTAGCACTCCTTAGCTTTATCTATTATTTCATTGTTCAGAATGGCCCTGTTGTGCAATGAGTTAAACCTCGGGGCATTCTTTCAACACTAATACGTTATGCTCTGTCGAAAATTTTCTAATTTGTTCTGTCGATAGGAAAGCGACAATTGAGCTTTAATTATTTACTGGTCCCCAGTCGCTTACCTAAGGTACCATTAATGATGGGGCGCGCTGAATGATGGGAAGACGAAGGGGTATTCCAAAATAGCCTAACAAATAGACTCGCGGTATTCCCATGATCCTTTGCCTCATCAATTTTCATCGCTTTGTTAGGGACTGTGGAAGAGTCAGGTTTTTATTTGGGTAAACAAAATTGCTATCTGAAGAAATCAATCGGGTATAGGGCGTTTATGAATATGATTCTAGCCAACCGTCTATTATGGATTCTAGCGACGGCGTTGGCAGAATTCACGAACAAAAAATGTCAAAAACCTACGTCGATTGTACGACGAGAAAATTAATATAAGATTTCAAGAAAATAAATAAGATAAACACTAAAAATTACCCCTGCGAAGAAGAGAGGATGATGTATATTATAAGATACAGAAATCCGTATTAAAACATAATCATTTATTTGCATTAAATAGCTTTTAATATAAATGTGTATTTTTTAATTTCAAAACACTTAAAAAAGAATAACAAAAAGAAGGATGTAAATATAGCATATAATGCACCAATATTTTGCTTACTAACTTGCTAAATAACACTCTTAAATCTCTTTTAAATGAGTCAACTTGAATATTATCCACTGAATATGTAGTTGTAAAGAGTATCTTTGTATTAGCTAAGGTAAAAAACATTTTGTTCGCTTGTTGAATAAAACGATAGACTTGCTTTCTATTTTGAACTTAACCACGGGCTTGATACAAAGCCGGATAGTGCCATCTGGGTTTTTATAAAGAAATTGTCATCAGTTGTAAGACACATGCAAAATTACTATTGGGTCTAACACCGGAGCTGGCAATAAAGGTTTTTCCGGAAAAGGAACAATTTGCTAAAGTTACGTCAGCATATGTATTTGACTGTTTACTATGTGGACGCTAAATAATTTGGAGTTGTATTCAATTAGGTACAAAATATTCTTAAATTTTATTCAATAGATTTTGATGAGTGCATGCTGGAAACACACAGATGCCATTCTCGCGCAACGTGCAACAATACGATTGGATCATATACCTGTACATGTAATCAAGGATTTACTGGCAATGGGACCATTTGCGAAGGTATAGTGACGTCAGTATATGCTCATGACTATATTTGAATAGAGTACCAAATATTTTCAAATTTGAATAGACTTTGAAGAGTGCATACTTGACACGCACAGATGTCATTCTCATGCGAAATGCAAGAATACCATTGGGTCATATACCTGTACTTGTAACGAAGGATTCACGGGAAATGGATCCTTTTGCGAAGGTATAGTAACGTCAGTATACGCTCATGACTGCATCAAATTGGAGAACTAAATATTTTCAGATTTAAATCAATGATGTCGACGAGTGCATGCAGGAAACACACGGAAGTCATTCTTAAGCCACGTGCGACAATACGATTGAATAATACACATGTGCTTGCAATGAACGATTTTCAGGAAATCTGGAAATAGGACCATTTAGTCAGGTGTTATTGTAAGCATAAAACTTAGCACTCCTTAGCTTTATCTATTATTTCATTGTTCAGAATGGCCCTGTTGTGCAATGAGTTAAACCTCGGGGCATTCTTTCAACACTAATACGTTATGCTCTGTCGAAAATTTTCTAATTTGTTCTGTCGATAGGAAAGCGACAATTGAGCTTTAATTATTTACTGGTCCCCAGTCGCTTACCTACGGTACCATTAATGATGGGGCGCGCTGAATGATGGGAAGACGAAGGGGTATTCCAAAATAGCCTAACAAATAGACTCGCGGTATTCCCATGATCCTTTGCCTCATCAATTTTCATCGCTTTGTTAGGGACTGTGGAAGAGTCAGGTTTTTATTTGGGTAAACAAAATTGCTATCTGAAGAAATCAATCGGGTATAGGGCGTTTATGAATATGATTCTAGCCAACCGTCTATTATGGATTCTAGCGACGGCGTTGGCAGAATTCACGAACAAAAAATGTCAAAAACCTACGTCGATTGTACGACGAGAAAATTAATATAAGATTTCAAGAAAATAAATAAGATAAACACTAAAAATTACCCCTGCGAAGAAGAGAGGATGATGTATATTATAAGATACAGAAATCCGTATTAAAACATAATCATTTAATTGCATTAAATAGCTTTTAATATAAATGTGTTTTTTTTAATTTCAAAACACGTAAAAAAGAATAACAAAAAGAAGGATGTAAATATAGCATATAATGCACCAATATTTTGCTTACTAACTTGCTAAATAACACTCTTAAATCTCTCTTAAATGAGTCAACTTGAATATTATCCACTGAATATGTAGTTGTAAAGACTATCTTTGTATTAGCTAAGGTAAAAAACATTTTGTTCGCTTGTTGAATAAAACGATAGACTTGCTTTCTATTTTGAACTTAACCACGGGCTTGATACAAAGCCGGATAGCGCTATCTGGGTTTTTAGAAGGAAATTGTCATCAGTTGTAAGGCACATGCAAAATTACGATTGGGTCTCACACCGGAGCTGACAATAAAGGTTTTTCCCGAAATGGGACAATTTGCAAAAGTTACGTCAGCATATGTATTTGACTGTTTACTATGTGGATGCTAAATAATTTATAGTTTTGTTCAATTAGATACAAAATATTCTTAAATTTTATTCAATAGATTTTGATGAGTGCATGCTGGAAACACACAGATGCCATTCTCGCGCAACGTGCAACAATACGATTGGATCATATACCTGTACATGTAATCAAGGATTTACTGGCAATGGGACCATTTGCGAAGGTATAGTGACGTCAGTATATGCTCATGACTATATTTGAATAGAGTACCAAATATTTTCAAATTTGAATAGACTTTGAAGAGTGCATACTTGACACGCACAGATGTCATTCTCATGCGAAATGCAAGAATACCATTGGGTCATATACCTGTACTTGTAACGAAGGATTCACGGGAAATGGATCCTTTTGCGAAGGTATAGTAACGTCAGTATACGCTCATGACTGCATCAAATTGGAGAACTAAATATTTTCAGATTTAAATCAATGATGTCGACGAGTGCATGCAGGAAACACACTGAAGTCATTCTTAAGCCACGTGCGACATTACGATTGGATAATACTCATGTGCTTGCAATGAACGATTTTCAGGAAATCTGGAAATAGGACCATTTAGTCAGGTGTTATTGTAAGCATAAAACTTAGCACTCCTTAGCTTTATCTATTATTTCATTGTTCAGAATGGCCCTGTTGTGCAATGAGTTAAACCTCGGGGCATTCTTTCAACACTAATACGTTATGCTCTGTCGAAAATTTTCTAATTTGTTTCTGTCGATAGGAAAGCGACAATCGAGGTTTAATTACTAACTGGTTCCCAGTCGCTTACCTAATGTTTTTTTAATTTCAAAACAAGTAAAAAAGAATAAGAAAGAGAAGGATGTAAATATAGTATATAATGCACCAATATTTTGCTTGCTAACGATAGCCTACTTTCCTTTTATCTTGTTTAGGCTTGCGTCTATCTTTCTTTCTTTTTCGTCTCGTTGTACCAAAGGTTAACAATACGAACATGGAAGACAGACTTAGGAAACTTAATGAACAGGCAAGTTATTCTATTTGTTCGTTCGTTTAAAGTTTGACTATGGTCGTTCGAATCTTCCTGTATGATTTTATTTATCTGCATGCTTGTGCATTCAAAAAAAGGTTTAAGAAGGCAATATGACGGTAACGCTGTCGATGCATCTTAATTTTAAAATAAATAATAGACATTTTATGGTAAACGACATTGGCAATTAATTTTTTCCTCACTTAAGAGAACGCTTTAAATTTTTAATAAAATCTTGTGATAAAATTTCCATATTTCACTCGATTCTTGCAATATTTCTACAACAAGCCACGATTTTCTTTGAATTGTTGGCGATCTTGGGTCAATCGCTAACTCATTGGAGAGTTAAAGCAGTGACTACGAGTACAAAATTTGCCATTTTCGCGCCAAACTCTGTGCTTTCGCCTACGCCGTTCGACGAAACTGGTAGTTCTTGGGCTTTTGTATACGAAATTAATCAACAGACTCTTCCACAGCGTAAACAACAGCGAGAATGACGATCTTGTACTGCATGGTAGTCACTTGCTAAAGCTCTCTATTAAGTTTCATTGTGATGACGTCAGGTGCAAGAAATCACCTGGAGAGAGCCTAGTAAAATTTGAAATTACAAGGTTCGGTTGCAAAATGTTGTGAAATAAAGGAAACATAATTATAGACAGTTTCATCACCCATTTGCTCGATATTTTCAGGTGGATGAGCTCTATGGTATGAATTTAACTGCAAGAAAAAAATCCGCCCAGATTATCATAAAGGAACTGTCCAATATAACAAATGTAAATAACGAAAACGGAGTGAAAGTGATAATGAACCCAAATTTTCTCAGCCGAACCGTCGCAATACTTCAGAAAGTTGTTGGACTGAATATTTCTGATGGCAGTGTTAACATATTGGGTCCTGCAAGTAATATTTTAGATGAAGTAAACAGGAAATATTGGAGAAACATGACGGTGAGTTGATTAGAATAAGTAAGTACATTAGCTTGTAAGTGCCATGCATGTACGTATTTAATACTGCATAAAAACACATAGTTTGATACAAATAGTTGATGAAAAAAAGTCTTCGAGTCTTTGAAGAGGCTTTTGGTATTAATAGAGAGCTTAAGCATGCGACGTTTTTTTCAACACGGACGTCACGCGTACAAAATTAAACGGCTAAAAATGGCGTCAGCCGTTCTTGCTTAAAATCTACGACGGGAAACTGCATGGACTGCGGTTTCTGATTTTAAACAAAAACGGCTGACGCCATCTATAACGCCAAAATTTTGTTCGCGTGACGTCCGTGTTGACAAAAACGTCGCATGCTTAAGCTCTCTAATATCTTATAGAAATTCCTTCTTTCCACCATAGGATGAGAGACTAATTCGTGATCTGGTGATCACTTTGCAAAATTATGGATTTCAATTAGGAGAAGTATTGAAAAATGACAGGAGTTCTTCGCGTATATTTCAAAATCATTCAAACGTTCAGCTATATGTCACATACCAAAAGCGCTCAGAATTGTCACCTCAGAACAGTCTTTTCAATTTCCCAAATTCATCGTTTACACTTTCGCCTGATGCGCTTTCGAACGACTGTGGAGCGGTCATAGTTGTTGTCTGGTATAAAACACTAAATTTAGTTCTGCGAAAGAGTGGTTTTAATGGTGATTATCACGCAATAAAAAGCAGAATCATTATTGCGAGTGTTCAACCTGAACCAAGGATGCCATTTAAGGAACCTGTGCGTATAAGCTGGGATGCAACAGAATTGGTAAGCATATATGAATGCCGCTTATTGTAGCTAATATATATATATATATATAATTATATATATATATATATATATATACACCCATTTGCAAAAACGTTGGCCGCAGATAGATAGATAGATAGATACTCGAAGTCTAATTAGAATTGCATATGATTACATTTGCATGGGACTTCTATAATATTACACAACATATGCAATTCTAATTAGATTTAGAGTATCTATCTATATATCTATCTGCGGCCAACGTTTTTGCAAATGGGTGTATATATATATATTATATATATATATATATTATATATATATTATATATATATATATATTAGCTATATATTTTTTTTCATCTTTAATTTTATGACCATGCAGGACGAAGCGATCACTTGTGGATATTGGAAACCAGAATTAGGTGTAAGTTAGTGGAAAACTGATGGCTGTAAAATAGGAAAGTCGAATAATAACCACTCGATATGTGAATGTTATCACCTCACTGCTTTTGCGACCATGGACATTGGAAAGAAAGATTTGGTAAGCTTTCAAGTGATGAAATTATGTACATTTAATACTGATATATAGCTATCTGTGACATTTACACAGAATAAAATATTATTATATTCCAAGTTAACCAAGGGTGAGCAAGAGGTTTTGGAAATAGTGTCTACTGTTGGCAGTTCTTTGTCGTTGGCTGGTGTGTTGTTGACGATATTAGCCTACGTATTGCAGTGGAAGAGACTTCATAAAGATGGCAAAAGCAAAATTTCTTCAAAAGTGCTCATGAATCTTTGTGTTGCAATTGGAATGGCGAATTTCCTTTCTATACTTTCCGGTCCGGCACGTAATCATGAGGTATTCCGATTACACTGTTGTTGATTTTTTGACTTTTTGCATTGGTATTTCATTATTACTTTTCTTTCTCTTCCAGCCATACTGTATAACAGTTTCCTTGCTTCTATATTTCTTCATTCTTGCTCTTTTTGGATGGATGTTATGCGAAGGAATTGTAATCTACTTAAAAATGGTCAATGTCTATGCGAGTTTAGCTTTGGGTGGAAAACATATGCAAGCATTCTATGTTGTTGGATGGGGTAAGTAAGACTGAATTTCCACTCACAGAGAAATAATTTGTTGGCGAAATATTTGCATATTTTCTTTATAATTTTAGCATAATTGTAAATAAATTAGTTCAATATGACTTTTTCACTTCAAAAGATAATATGCAAATATTTGTTAGCGAATTTTTTCTTTTTAAGTGAAAGGGATAGTGAGGATATAGTGGTTTATAAAATATTTTCGTTTTAGGTTTATGAAAAGCCTAATTTTTGTGGGAGCTTTTGAAGGAATTGAAAATACTCCAAATAACTTTTATAAGAGTTTTAAAAATATTACAGAAAGATTGCATTGCCATATTTATGAAGGGCCGTGCATGAAAAGAGAGAACAAAGTTGTTCGCAAACTGTGGCGTAGTTTTAGCCTGACGATTTTGTTCCTCTATAGAGATATGTAAACTTGGGGTTATTATAATTATTCATTTCTTTAGAAATGTATTGTTTTCACAGTCAATGAACACCAAAATATTAGCAAAGGACAAATCTTCAGTCTGGCTACACTAATGTTCGCAAATACCACTTTAATAATGTTTTACGCAAAAATTGGAACACACATTTTTGTCAGTGAATGGTGCATTTACTTTGAAAAAATCATCTTCTCTAATGCAGTATGCTATTCGTAAAATAACTGTACTCCGACCAATCAGAATCCAGTAATTAGAACATGCTATGTAATAATTATTGTGATAATGATTTGAAGCATGAGAGTGATTAGTATTTTGGATGAATTTGAATGAATGAAATCGTTGTGTGTCAAATGAAATTATTAGTGATTTGAACTTGCGTTCGCCCTTTCTTTGGTATTCAGGTTTTCCAGTTATCATTGTCTCGCTTCAAATCACGGTGAATGGTTTAATTGATGTTACATCCGAGCATGCATGTTGGTGCCGTGCTGGTGGTGTGATGTTTTGGAGCTTTTTGGTTACTGTTGGATTAATATTGTTGGTAAGATAGCACCACACATATTTGACAATTTAGGCATGATAATGTCGTCATCTTCAGGGACAAGTCAGAACGTCAGACAATAATGGCTATAAGTATTTAAACTTAGGATTTGCCGCTTTAAACTGCCACTCAAACACAGAGAATTACGCTGTATAAACCGGGCCTGACTTAAACATTCAACACCCACAAAATTTACCATACTTCCGCGGGGTTGCCTTCCTTGGCAACCAGCATCAGGGTAAGCACTGGGAGTTGTATAAAAGACAATAGTTAACTTTTAACAGTAGACAAAGGCAGAATTGGCCAATCAGAGTCGTGAATTTCTGAGTTAACTAGGATTTAACTGTGCAAAATGTGGTTCTTATACAACCGGCCCCTGGACCCAGATCATTAAAACATTCGTAAGGTAAGCAAGCAGATTGGGAATTAAGTATTTTACGGTTTGTTTACGTTTTAAACATTAGCCTAGGAATGTATTATTTATTTATTTTATTTCTAAAGAAGCATATATATATATATTATATATATATATATATATATATATATTATTATATATATATATTATATATTATATATATTATATATATATATCAAATATGTATTTAGAATCATATATGAGTAGAGTGCTCGATATACCAAAGTATAGAGCTAGTATAAAGATAAAATAAAATAAACTTGGTTTACTTCATAAGATTTTATTCACTACAAACTTGTTTCGTATGACAAGCAACGCTTGCCACACTCATCAGGTGAATTTAAATGTCGCGCTATGTTGTTGCAAAGGTTATATATACTATATACATGTTTGACGTAAACGGAAAGCTCTAGTGTTAAATTACATATAAATATATACAGATTATATCAAGTAATTATATTGCTTAAAGTGCCTATACCACTCGTGGTGTCTTTACGGATTTGGAAAGAGCGTAAAAAGTTAGTTTATAAAGTATAGATCCTTTTTTGATATAAAACAATAGTTTCCGAGATATCGGGTTTCAAACAGGGCATTTTTGCAAAAAAGGTGTGTTGCTCAGGAGACTGGGACTCAGGAACCGGTCTTTGGTCAAATACTATAAAATCAACTACGTTTTTGCTTGGCGGCTGACAAAAACGCAAATATTTCAGAATAAATTGTTATGTCTGGCTTAGAGTCGTTATCTGGCTCTGACGAGGGCTCTTACAGTTGCCCTGAGTATGAAATTGAGGATGAAACATACGAAACGGCGTCCAAAGACGGATATGAAAGTGAGCTTTCATATGCCGTTGAGGAGGAACTACTAGACGATGAGGATGTTTTAGCATACACTGATGAGCCTTTAGCTGACGATTCGTGGGTTGAAGAATATATTCAAAGACAAGAACAGCATGCAAGGGAAATAGAAGAATTAAGTCTTCGTCTAAGCGGAGAAAACCCAGTGAGTTCTTGGTAAGATAATCAAACAATTTTCTATGTTAAAATATTGTGTGGTTGCCATATTGGCATATATATTTTTCAAAAGACAACTGAAGCATACTGACAGTGTATCTTTTTTAGGTGCAATTGTGGAAACTGCAATACTGAAAATTTAGTAGAGGCGAAGGAGTGTCACTGTTGCACTGAAATTCCAAACTGTGCCGCTGCATTGACATTGACTATAGATGATTCTGTTCGTGTTTCTGAGTCATCTGATGATGATGCTACTAACACCCAACAAACGTGTATTACAAATCACCCTGGATTCGATGCAATTTGTCTCAATAGATGGTCTTTGGAACTAGCTGCAGATAATTTTAAAACGCGTACTGGACAAAAATATCGACAAGTTAGTTCAAAGAATAGGTTAGTATCCACTCTATATAAAATTATTAAAATATTATTTTTCTGAGATAATATAATCAACTTGTATCCCAATTAATTTGTATCCCTATAACCCTATTCTCTATTGCAGCCTTGGTTCTATACAAAGTAAATATATAACCCTATATGACTATATGTGTTTTTAGGTTTCTTCGTGTGGTGGCATATAGACAATTCACACGACTTATTCATGGGCGTTTAAAAGACAAGCGAATCCCTTTGCCGGCTTGTGCTTACAATGCTATCCGCACTACCTTCAAGGAAAAGGAGGATGACTTCAAAGGTTATGAAGATCTGGAGGAAGAGGATTAAATTTGCTGTAAATATATATGTAGGAATTTAATAGCAGATACATTAGCAATGTTTTGTTATAGCACCTCAAACTTGAATAATAATATATTTTACAATTAAACTCTGCCCTTTTACAAAATTATTTATTTTGGTTCTTGGGGCAATCTTTAACATTTTTGTGGCCTTTCATTGGTTGTTTGCATGCTTTGCACTTTGGCTTGTTTCGTGCAGTGCTATCACCAGGATTTGGAATCACAACAGTAGGTACTAAAATGCAAAAACAATAATAATGATGAGTTGATACTGTATGTTTACATGTTAAGGAGTGATGGCATCAGCTGTAGCACAAATCATAAGTGTGTGATAAATCGCATCATGCAAATTTACCTTCAACTTAGCATTGAATATAAGACTACTAGAGCAAGTAAGGTAACTAACCAGGATTTGTTGGTGGCACATTAACAATGGGCATGTTTTCCCTTCTTTTCTTTTTGTCAATAGCCTCAGCACGTGGCTGCATGTCAAGCATTTTGTTCATTGGTGGTGGTGTTAAACCTTTTAATTCTTCAATTGCCTTATTGAGTTTTTTGTTAGAGATTGCATCAATCATTGTATTGTATATTTCATCAACATAATCTTCAAGAAAGGCAATTATATATATAATGATTTGCTTAATTATTATGGGAGTGCAAAATAGATAGTGTTAATTGCTGTAGTGTTAAAAGTAGAATGTGATATACTGTACATACCAAAGTTTTGCTTCACTTTTACATTTCTAACAACAGCCTCTCCATTTTTAAATTTTGGTAACAAATGAAGTTGTTCAACGCCATCCTTCATTCTGTTCTCCGATGCAGATTATTATTAAGTGGATTACAGCAAGTGCATGCCTAAAATATTCCAAAGCAAATTTTGTTATTAAATATATTTAAACTTGCAAAATCACAGCCATAATGTTAATACCTGCAAAACATTCCTTGATAGCTGTATCCAATCATTTTTGGTGAGAACTGGTGAGCACTGAATGAATCCCTCTAGAGCACTTGTCTGGCCGAAGGAGACGCTGCTTTATACCATTCATCAACTTTGTATTTGTAAGTGCAGCCACCATTTTCTCATATGCAATAGAATCTATAATAGAGATTACAAGAACAATCATTCTCACACATCGAAACTATAATTGAAAATAAATCAGAGGGTCTATCTAGTGTAATAAAGATATAAATACAGTACTTAAAATGTTACTTACCTTCATCCAGCCACTTCCGTGGTTGAATCTCATCTCCATGAGCACACTTATCAAAAACGGGGTTTTTTGAGATTTTTGTGCTTGTTGACAACGTGGCTGAAGAACGATGAAACTTAGCCCAAATATTCACCATTTCCATCTTTTGTGGTCATGGCACTCCAAAATAGATGTTTGCACATGGTTTAATCCACTCATTCAAAATCTCATTTCCACTAACTTTTGCAATTTTTGTCAAAACTTTTGTGATTTCTATAACACAAGAATATACAGAACAAAATACAGGTTGTTTTCTTTCATATTCCATAATACCCCCACCCCTGAGTCCCTAACAGTTACATATATTGGTAAATGGTTATTACATATATAATAGGAAAGGGATAGAATAAAAACTTCTCTTTCTTATTTCAACAACATACTTTTCTTTAGATGCCAAACATCAAAGTAATGTTTGATGCTGGCCAGCTTTTCCCTCATGTGTTTTGCAATTCCTGAATGTCGGTCGGAACAAAAGTCTTCACAAGTAAGCCAGTGCCCAGAAGATATTCCATAGCCCGTACAAACCCATGGTACTCCATTGCAGGACTGCTACCCACTTCGTTTCTCTATAAATAATAAATATAATTTTGCCTGTAGAGCTGGTATCAATCTCCTAAAATTTGTACTTTAGTTACATACCTGCACCAGTGTAAAATGAATGATGAATGGAACTGTACAGCAAAATATTGTGTAGGCACAATACTTGGCACTATGACCCATGCTGTCATGCCTTCCATCACCAGATATCATGAGATCATCTTGGTTTTTCAATTTTGAAATTAATCCCTCTTGATACTTTTTCCAATGAAGATATATCACAGGAAATAATTTTTCCTGCAATTATGATTATAAAAGTACAATAAAACACTGGACAACACTCCTGGAATCATGCACCTAACTACTTATTATCAACTTTCAGTATTTAAACTAATTAGACAGGATAAAATCAAATGCACATTGTCAGCTAAATATTATGACTACACTCACATGTTGATGCTTAAAAAAAGTTGAAAGTGAGATGCATTTCAATCCCATATGCTGGAATACTCTCAGGACTTTGGTGGCTGATGTGCCAGCTACAAGAATTCCAAATGAAAGTAATAAATTGCCAGCTGGAACCATTGTGCCTGTCATATATGGCTGACTGAACCATTTGCTTGTCTTGCCACACTTCGGGTTAGCACATATGGAGGTCACTTCTGCCATTGTACCATTTTCTCGAACTTCAACAAGAGGATTGTCACATTTGCAGGCATGGCAAAATTTGAAGAGAGCAAGTAACTGTGTAAAAAACACAATAAACTTTGGCTCTTTTCTTAAATTGGAATCATTCAAAAAGATTCTAAAAAATAACAGTTTATTTTAATTATATATTTCAGTCACTTGGGCATTATAGCTGGTGTGTCATATATAAGGAAAAATGTGTTGTCTGGATTGTTTTCTACTCTATTTACTGTATCATGTTTGCATATTACTGTATATTCTATCAGGGTTATGGCCTTACCTTTTATGTTGAGGATTTGCCTCATCCTCTGTCTCAGTTTCAGTTGATTCACTTATTGATTCTTCTTCATCATATAAATCACCTGATGGAGGCATTTCAATATCTGAGCTTAATAGCTCATCAAAATCATCTGATGGAGGTATTCCAATGTCTGAGCTACAATGTGCATCATCACCTGCTGTGGTTGACATGGTACTAGGATGTGCATCTTCTCCTGTGTTTTTTACAATCATAGAAAATTTATTATATTGTTAACTATTGCAGCTGGGACACTGCATGTTACAGTATGTGCAAGTTTATACACAGAGGGCAGAGGCTACAGCATATGTTGATTCTATTGCTCTGAGTAGTAAACTGGTGTGACATAAGACCAAAAGAAATCAATACATATGACTTACCAGAACTTCTTGCAATTTGCCTTCTGCAAACTTCCAGCTTATTTTTTGCAGATAGCCAGTCACTTTTAAGCCTCTTATTTTTTAGCAATAAAGCTTTGCAATTGCTACATTCCCCATGCTATAAAGACAAAAGTACTTATTTGCAATAGACCTTTTGTATGTTTACAACACAAGCATCTGTCATTAGTATATGGCCCTATCAGGGTATGCATGACCACTGACTGTTTCTAAACATCACTCTATGACATATGATACCATCGGTTCCATAGTCCAAAAATCTCACCTCTTTTCGTTTCGTTGAGGTTGAACTTGAAGGTACAGGTTCCTCACCAGTTGAAACTCTTTCCGGAAATGTAATCTATAATTGTAGATAGTGTTTTGTAAATACACCAAACCAATAATACGTATTAAAATCTAAAATACTCACGTTTGTTGGGGTCAGCACGTAGGCATAGCAAGAGGTACGCTCATTGGCCAGCTGATTGGTTAATAAGTAATGGTAATGGTAATAATTATGGAATGATATTACAAAATGAACAATAAATATTGAATTTTATTGACGTGTTTTGTGTTTGATCATTAGCGCGCTGTCATGCTTACGTTATGTCATAAGGTACGCAGCCGGACAGAATGTGGATATCCGTAGGTTTAACCGCGCTCACCGCACCAGTCTAACTTAAGGCCCATAACCCTAACCCTAACCCTAACCCTAACTCACACTCGTGCGTCACATGCACCGCACTCATCGCATTCACCGCACTTGTCTAGCTCACACTCAGTCAGCGCATACACCGCACTCATCGCATTCACCGCACAAGTCTAACTCACACTCAGGGCATACACCGCACTCATCGCATTCACCGCAGTCTACTCACACTCATCAGCGCATACACCGCACTCATCGCATTCACCGCACTGTCTACTCACACTCAGTCAGCGCATACACCGCACTCATCGCATTCACCGCACAAGTCTAACTCACACTCAGGGCATACACCGCACTCATCGCATTCACCGCACAAGTCTAACTCACACTCAGGGCATACACCGCACTCATCGCATTCACCGCACAAGTCTAACTCACACTCAGGGCATACACCGCACTCATCGCATTCACCGCACAAGTCTAACTCACACTCATCGCATACACCGCACTCATCGCATTCACCGCGCTTGTCTAGCTCACACTCATCGCATACACCGCACTCATCGCATTCACCGCACTTGTCTAGCTCACACTCAGCGCATACACCGCACTCATCGCATTCACCGCACTTGTCTAGCTCACACTCAGCGCATACACCGCACTCATCGCATTCACCGCACAAGTCTAACTCACACTCGTGCGTCACATGCACCGCACTCATCGCATTCACCGCACTAGTCTTTAATTGGGGTAGAAAACAGACGAAAAACTACCACAAAACTATCGTTAAGGCTACGAAAGCATTCGAAAACCGCGCTCAAGTCGTAAACAGAAAGGTTAAACAACATTCATTGTCAAACACTGATGTCATCACACACTCAAAATAGATATAATAAAGAAGCACCTGGAAACGGAGGTGTAAAATATAATTAGCGTAAATATATGCATATTTCGTAAAATAATCATATGAACTGTCAGAAAATTGAACCATTTTGGTTTGCTATACTATAGTTTAATTTCGGAAATATACGACTAACATGCGAAATTTGCACAGCAAATTTTAAATGTTGTAGTATCCTTTGTTATGAGCAAAACCGATGCGCATAAGCCGCTGTAGCCCCCCCTCTCCCCCCCTATATAGAGTTACTCTGACCTCGTTTTTGCGCACCCTTTTTTAAATGATAAAAATACATTTTAAGGCAGATTTCGATTTTTGAGCAATTCAAGTTGAACACATATGCAATCTCACGCCCACGAACAGCTATGGAACGCACAAGCAAATTCGTCAATGAAGGAGGACTTACTTTTTACGAAGGAAAACGATTTAGCGACTTTTGTTTGAAGATAGTGGGAGAAGTGCACAATGTACACACAAAGAACATGTTTTATCTGGAGAAGGACAGTGGCTTGTAAGCGCAACTGGTTTTGTGTTCTCTTCCCAATTTACGAGGTACTGAATACTATGAATGCTTCATTCCATGTTGCTAGATCATTCAATCATTTGTCCATTTGGTGCAATGTATGAACAAGGTCCAATGATTTTACTTTTGTAGAGAAATTACGCTGACTGCCAGTTGCTTTGACGGGAAAAGGCAATTGCTCGATGCACTCAGGTCAAAGTTTCCTGGAGGAACTCTGAACTTGGAGACCCATGTTAGCAACAGCATGATCTTGACCTACTGGCAATCACTTCTGGAGGACTACAGGAATGTTTTTAACGAAACCGATGATGCTACAGCGAGAGTGGTCTATGGTACTCAACATTTTGGTTATCAAAACATTCCAAATTCGGCTAATTATTGGTTCTTGAGCCCGGGGTAAGTATTTGACGTGTATTATCAGTATTATTTGTATTATAGACGGTATTTTAAGTTGTATGCATATAATATAAACGAATGTGGCGGGCATTATTCATTGTAATGTTTTCTCGGAAGAATATGTTGCCCCGTTGTTGGTCTAAAATTATTCCAAATATATGTTGGTCTAAAATTAACTCGGCACTTTAATGGCTTTATACATAATTTTCGTTCTTGTATATCCACAAAACACACTGTTTCGCTCGGTCTCAGTAAGAAAGTGATATTTAATAATTGTAATCGACAAGACATTGAACAAATTGCGTCCATCGAATAACATGCGTTGTTGAGAAATTTTGAGTCGGGGAGAAACACAAAGGAAGCCAAAGCAACTATATATACAGTCATTAATAAAGGGGTGTTTGTATGGAGGCGAGCCAGCCCGGATCTCCGAGCTAGCTCGCTTTACAGGGCTGATTTCATCACATGAGACTTTTGAGGCGGGTTAGCTCGCCACAAAAAACTACTCGTCTCACGGCTATAGATAGCATATTAATTATATATAAACATATTTTCGCACGAACGTGAAATATTCGCAGCTTCGCAAGCAAATTTCACGGTTGTAACCCACAGAATCGTTAACAGATACCGTTTAAGATGGAAATCTGTCGAAAAAATCTTATTCACAACGATATAATCGAGTGAATAGAGTATTAGTAATAACTCTTACCTCGCCAAAGCGAGCCAGCCCGGGTAATTGCGTTTATTTTTGGGAAATTTCCATCCCGCCTAGGCGAGATCTTGGGTCAATGAACGCGGGATCTCGCTTAGGCGGGCCAGCTTGATATAAACGGCAAACACAAGATGAAATTTAGTACGAACGCGATCTGACTTGTTTGGACTTCAAACGTCACATAATTTTACTACAAACTTTTACGTTTCAACTGTCAACTGTCAATATTCCAAATTTAGAACACATTCTAAATGTGCAATTTAATTCGCCTGAATTAAATTCGACGTATACAACAGGCCTTAGTGTCGTGAAGTTCTAACATACGGTAAATTTGTGAATTTTGCGTTTATAGTGGATAAATTCAAAATAATTTGCAATGTTCTTACTTTGTTACATTTTCGCGGGAAAAATACAGTAACTGTTACAGGTAAACGTCAAATGTTTACAGCCAAACGTGTTTTGTTCCATGTCCAATTAGATCATGTTCCCCCCAGGTTTTCCATGACGTGTTTCCGCTTAGCTCCAATCGAGGGTACTGCGGATGCAGGTAGACGTAAGACGGTAGACCGATCAAAATGCGAATAGTTGTCGCGTTTATAGTTTCAAGTTTCAACGGTGGTACGATGACGTTTCTAGGCAGGTTTTCAGACGTTTCTAAGGCGTGGCTTCAATGTTCCATTAAGAAGTACCACGTTTCGAACTTTTCTGTCGTTCTATCACAGTCATAGTTGCTTTTATTAACATTGAAGCCGCCTGAAAATGAAACGTCCGAAAACGTACCTGCCCACTGAAACGTCATCCTACGCAGGGCCGCCCAGGGATGGGGCGAAGTTTGCATTTTGCTCTGGGCCCCATCCTTAAGAGAGCCCCAAAAGGGCCCCCCAAAGGAACAAAAGGGCCCCCCAAAACTTCCTGAGGGTTTTTTTTGCCCCAGGCTTCCAAAAAGTTCTAGGCAGCCCTGATCATACAACTGTTAAAACGTACTAACGCAAACCCGGAGCCGGGTTTTTTTTCCGGGATTGCACGGCACTAATGAAACCAATAGAAATATATTTGTCAAAATTAACACTCAAAGGTGTTCTGTAACCTTAGATGATCGCATAAACGAACATCTTCTATGTTGACTTTTCTATTTAGCTTCACATCGAGGACAATTGTATTTTACGGGACAGTGCATATAAAGTCCTAGACATGTCAGGCCGGGATGCTTTGTTCCACTACGCAACCACAATTGATCGGCATCTTTTAAAGATGGATCGACTGCTCGAAGCGACAAAAAGGTATCTGTTTGTACATGAACTTTAACTTTCGATTAAAGTAGACATATAATCCAGCATAAAATTTTTTTATTGCTGTCATAGGTAGCTCCCTAGTCTTTACGTACCATACCTACTAGTGCCCAGACCTTGGCCGAGTTATTTTTGTGCTGACGCCGAAGTTCATCGTCATTTCTTAAAAATGAAGTTTAAAATGCAGTCAACTGACGCAATTACATACGCCAGAATCCGAATCGTGCACGAAAAATCGTTGTTTGTGATCGTCGGATGACGTAGACATTTTATGACGTAGTAGATTTTTCCACACACCACAAGGGAGCTTCATATATACGGTTAATTAATAAATAATTTCTCAAAATGTATTATTATACTTAGTTTATAGCCTGTGATGGCCAATATTCTCATATTAAATTTTATACAGGCTTTTAGATTTGTCTTCTTACTTTGATGTAAACGAGCATCCTTTTAAGATGTCGCTATCATTTGTCGCAACAAGAATCCTTCGATCGTCCAAAGATGACGAGAAATATGGTAAAGTTTGTGTTATATTACTTATGCTTATATATACAGGGTGTTTTAAACACATCCGCTTTGTTTAAAAAAAAAGCGGATATATTGATAAATATTAAGTCACGTTTTTTTTTATACGTTCTGTATTATAAGCTTCGACGGGTAAATAAAGGGGCACCTGAAAACAGTCTACGTTAATCCCCTAATGGTCCCTAATCAATGCAAAGAGGTGTCAAAACTTATTGGTTTCAATTATTTTTAACAGGTGAAAGTAATTTGGGATTGATATTCTCTGAGGAGAGAAATTGCGGGAAGACTCTGACGTTACGTCTGATTGCCAAATTTCAGGGAATTGCCCAAAGTCGTCACCCACTACTATTATCAGGTGGGAATCAGAACACATCTGGCACATCTGGGTGAGTATACTAATAACATGTATATGAACTTTATGAAACACCATAGCGTTTGTCAATGGTCCGGGTTTAACTCCTTCTTGTAGACCGGGTCAGGTGTTTGTTTTTACAGTTTATAGTTTCATTTTCTTCCAAACAATCAGTTAATCATATTTATTTAAAAGCAAGGAGAGTAAGGGAATGGCGTCAACATCAGTTATATTACTCACTGTTGCACTTTCCCATTATCAATTTAACATAATGTAGATATTCTTTCGAAAATTATCGTGTCACCGAGTGTCCAATACGCGCATGTACTCTGAGTATTAAGTTGTTGTGAAAAATCTGCGTTTTTGTCTTATTTATTAGAAAAATGGCATTGGAGAGTTTAAGCAAATCGTCCTTGGTATCCTTACTTGACGATTCAATAATCAACCAGAATCTGGGTGAATTTTTGAACCAGGTGCAGGGTGGTCTGGCGCAGGGTTCATCCAAATCTGGTCTTTTGTACCCGAAAGGAAGCTTACTACTTTCCAGCAATAAAAAAGAAGTACAAAGGTATAAATACATGAAATGCCAATGTATACAATTCAATCAATGTACAACAACGCATATTATACGAGGTATAATATATGATGATACAATATGCCACTAAGAAATATTTTATATGAATTAGCCGTCTCCCAATCAAGCAGAGGACTGGTTCTCGTCGCTTAGTGTTGACGGACAAAAAAAATGCAAACAATAATAATGCAACAATAATAATAAGGCAACTTTAAATATATATTTAGCTCTCTCACAATCTCACTATAACTTGATGTCCTCCTAATCTCGTTTACCGAGCCTGAGATCCTTGGGAAGGAAACGAAGGCTCTGGGATAATCAGGAAGAAATCTGATTGATTGTTGGAATAGGATGCGTAATTCAAACGGACATACAATTTTCTATATGTCGGATTCAGGCTCGGAGATTGATGTCCTTCCAAACCTCCTTCCAAACATCAACTAGACCCAGTCCTCTGCTCGTTTGGGAAGTGACTAATTGGGGTTAGCGAAAATAAATGTAACATCTGAAGTCTGTAACAAATCTACTATAATTCCCATACTATAACAGGATATTAGGAAGAGTGGTCAGGTTCGACTACCGACTCAATCCCAATCATGAAGACCACAATGAAGCTGCTTTGACAAAATTCGCCTGTGGCAATAAGGCAAGTATCGACAAATAAGGATACAAAGTTAATGAGACGTACGAACAGACAGACAGAAAATTACAAAGACAGTTGCTCGAAAGCTGCTTTATCAGATATAAAACTCGATGCGACAGCTGAGAGTTTTATATCTGATAAAGCACGGACTGGGAACTAATTTTAAAAATAAACGTTGTCTAAGTTAAGGAAATCACTGCTAAAGTTTACATGATTCTTTATCAGGTATAAAACCACCGATATGGTAATGATTTCCCTTGTCTTTCTTTATGAATTATTAATGGTTCCTTAACTTTTTAAAGGGTATTCTGGTTGCATGGTGCATGCGATTTCTTCCTATCTATGAAGAGATAATAGAATCGTATTTTGAAGATGTGAAATGCATTCTGAAGGCGCATTTCAATACAGGATGTCAAATGCGATGGATTAAAGGTGTTGCATATAACCTCATTACGTACACAATGGTGAGTAATAACAGTCATTTCTTATTAAAAATTGTCGGAAATGCGATGAAAAAAAGCAACTAAAATAGACCTTTTCGCTCATTACGTCACGTCTAACGCTGTTTCAACACGGGCCATGATAAGAGAAACAGAACATCCTCCTTCAATTAACACATGCATCAAAAAGAATTTTTTTTGGTTAAACACGATTTCACATAAACGAAAACTTTATAGGCTTTCACTCATGAGTTGGCCCCAGACGATTTTTCTCGTCAATGGCCGAATTGGACGGTAGCAGCATTAAAACACCGACAGTTATCCTTTGACTATATGGTCATTACTTCATATGTTTATTTTAAAAACAGTTTCAATACCTGTGCAAGGGGAATAGTTTAGAATTCATAAATTAATTGAACTTTTTCTCCACACAGATACATGCATCTGCTCAGAAACATCCCGACCTAACAAATGCCATCACCATGGTCATACAGGGAAACATGAGTCGTTCTGCGGAAAAGTCTACTATACAAAGATTAATGGTGGATATTTATTCACTTATTCTGCAGTCAAAATCGAAAGATGTAAGTTGTGAACGCGTATATACGACGCATTATTCGCTCGGGAGTTGCCATTAATGCATTATAATAATTGTACTTAATTATTAAAGTTCCGTTCCCTTATTCAGGTTTCTTGTTTGACATGGATAAATCCACTCCCAAAGGTCCAAATTACAGAAAACGGATCGTGGGAGAAAGCCATTTGCATCAAGACGGTCATGATAGGAGAAATGCAAAACGTTTCTTGGACGGTAAGAAGCTCAGTCTTTTAAATTGAGAAGTGCGCTTGTTAATAATGTATTTACTCGTTTGCTGCTCTTAAAATTATTTATTCAAGGCTGCTTAAACGAGGTAATACAGTATTATAACCATGCATAGAATGTAGGCTCCCATATCAAGTCGGTCAAAAAGTTGGCGCCACAAAATGTGGATTTGTAATGGATATTCTGCTCAGCACTTTACATGTAATAAATTCAGAATGGCGGATTTACTATGCATAGATTCATGTAAGAGTGTTTGCACCATTGAAATGAGGTTTGCACTCATTCTCCGGCGCCCAACCTAATAAAAGCCATGGCAGCCATGTTGGTATTCCAGACAAAAGAGTCTAATTAATTTTTTTTTCCAATTGAAACACTAAAATGGGGGCTGTGACGTCATGTGCAAACGCTCTGTACTTGTAGGAAGTAAAACAAGAAATACAGAGTTCCACAGTAAACGGCTGGGAACAGAGAAGCATTTGTTTCGCAAAAGGCAGCAACGCAAACCTCGCTGACGTGCGCTCTAAAAGGAATTCAACGCTTGTAACAACTGGACAAGGGTTCAAAATCCCACAGAAGTTATTGGACCCTCTTTTTATCGAGTGGGTAAATTTTGGTAAGTATTGTTTTAACATACCAATATACCATGATTCCTTATTGTCATACGCAAGCGTAATTTTTCTCTTTCACGAACATTTTAAGACATTTTGATAACATATAAGAAGCGCCGATAGTTTTTCCCTTTGAGTTACTCAGTATGGTTGTTGACGTTATAAACTGAGTAAAATTCAGTAAATACCAATGGCTATGACTTTGTAGAATCATACACGCAAAAGATTATAAAATGTCGCCGTTACACGGTGCTACAATCGCAGGATTGGCAAAAAAGTACCCCAAAAATGGCGTTGTGAGAAAGGCTAATTAATCCTGATATTTACAGTAAACTCTACTACAGAAATGATACTAAATTAAAATGACGCATAATTGTAGTTTTTCGGCTAAAAGATAAAGGTACATAATTGGGGATTTAAAATATATTATTGAGATCGCCATTTCAACAACGTTGTTATTTACTTGCATGCTAGTTACTGGTAATAACGGTCAGCTGCAGCCAGACGTGGACTTTATCGAAGCGCTGACAAACAAAGAAGAACACGGAGATGACATGGAAAGAAATTTGGAGAAAGATGAGGCAGACACGGTCCGTTCCATAGAACAAGAGATCGTGGAAAAAGTGTCAGGTACGTCTCTCTCTCGACTCGTATCTATAAATCGCTATCGTACATGCTATATAGAATCATGTAGATATAGTATTGAAGGAGTAACATATTTTTTTAAAAATATTATGTTTCCTTTTATTTAATTAACAATTGTATAGAGTCCTATGTGTAAAGTTTAATACAAAGTTATTCATGGATGATCTCATTTGCAGATTATTGTGATAGGATCAGGCAAGGATATCACAATACAAATGACGACGTACCTTCATCGCCGTCAAATGCGCAAGACTATTCACAAGTAAGTATCTGCAAATAATATAAGTTAGGTATTTATTTCAAACGTTGGTCCACTAAACTGTAGTTGTTTAACAGTATTTCATCTACATTGCATACCGGAATCTAACACTGAACTTGCACGATTATTCTTGTCATTCAGTAGACTTGCCGTCTTGCCACAAGTCCGCCTCAAAGCTTTCCCCCATAAAAGTGACGTTGAAAAGGACTTTGCAAAAATCTAATCATTCAGGCAAAAATTAAAATACGAACCTATCAAGTGACCTTACAGAGTAACACAAATGTTGAATAGCTGAAAGTTGTCGAATGCTAATGACTGATCCGCGCAAATGACATATACACCTATTATACTATATGTCCTGTGTCCAGTCGATCAGTATAATTTCTTAAGTACGTACCTATCTTTTGTTTCACTTTGTAGTTTTTGTCACCTGAATCAAAGAAATTGTACAACAGATTCACCCCGAAACGGTTAAAGGCTTTTGACATGGTATGGAAAACTTACAAAGTTTATCGTTTTAATTCTTTGCCTTTCTTGTCAATGATAGGTACTCTCTCTGCACGACGAGCTAAATCGCCTGACTTTATAGACAGAGTATAATTTGGCCAAAACTATTCCGTCATTCAAGAGTTAAATAAACATTTAGTGTTGTTTGCAACTGTGCATGGTGGATGAATTAAAGTGGACAAATGAAAGAATTTATTCCGGTTATAAACCACATTTTCAAAATTTTGTTTTCCAGTTTAACATCGAATGGTTTAACTATATTTTTCGCTTCAGAGTTCATTTCGATTTTGCATGCTGCAGTTTCGTAGCCTGTTGTAATGTATTTGTATCTGGCACATTCATGTACCTCATAAACATTCGGTAATCCAGATCATTACTTTCTTGCAATATAGGCTGTTAAAGCAGTAGAACGAGCAAGCCGGTTATTAAGTGAAGAGCCAACAGCACATGATCGTACGATAGATACTGCGATAGATACTGCATCAGGTTCAGGTACGTCGTTACACTGATAAATATTGTGATCGCAACTTGCACACATGTACTGACTGCAATTAAGAGCATTCAGCTTCGACCAAATTGTTGAGGAAGTCAGGAAATGAACTGGTCAAAGTTAGGAAATGAACTGCTCAACATTTTTCGGAACGCTTCTATTGGCACGACTCTAACAGCCATCGTTGCAAATTTTTCAGACGATCGTCATAAAGATCGTCTAGAGAGATCCGCACCCAATATTGTATCAGATTTAGAAAATCTGAGTTGTTAAAGTTCGATTCCCTAAACGTCACATGCACAATTTTTGTAAGGACAATTTCCACCTTTTATCAAACAGGTATTAATCAAACACCCATCCCGAGTAATAGTGAGGTAAACCCAAAGAGGAAACTGCTATTCGCGCAAGGAGCATTTGGGGTTATGAACGATAGCACTGAAGGTATAATACATGCTAGGATTTTATACGTTAGCAGTTTTAAGTATAATTGAAAAATCTGTGAATATAACACGCAAATAACATCTTTCTCATCCGCAGAAAAAAAAAATCCAGCGGCGAGAGGACTGTCCCTGTGGAGACGACGAAGAAATCGTTGGAGAAAACTGGGTACAATGTGACAATTGCGGTCAGTGGTATCATTTGTAAGTATATTTCTAACTCCCTATATGTTTATTCTGTGTTGACAGGTACCATAGTAATTAGCTTATAATAATCTTTATTTATATTTCAGGCTCTCTCGGCTTTTGTGTTACATTTAATCACTTATCGACCTTCCGTAATGCCATGCTATTACTTATAATAATCTTTATTTATATTTCAGGAAATGTACGAATTTAGAGAAGATTCCGCCAAAAAGACAGAAGTGGTTCTGCAGCGAAAAATGTACTGAACAAATAAAGGGAAAGAGATCCAAACAGCGGAAATAGAGAATTGGCAGTTTTAAGATGTATGAAACTGCCACTTGTTCATATTGTGTGCTCCTCTCTGACATATAACCTTTGGCAGAAACGTTAAAACGCTATACATTACATAATATGCGGCGCACCTTATTTTTCTTCAACAACAAGTTTATGGTATGGGCCTCTGACTAATTTTTCATCTTCTCTTACACGACCGAGCATCTTGGTGGTTAGATCTTCCACAATCTTCTCGTTGTGGTAGTAGTCCATTAGGTAATTGTAATGAAAATGAACCAAAAATTTTTGCATCGTGGAGCTTCTAAGGCGTAAAAAATTTTTTCTATTGTTTTCGCTCTCCTGATAACTCGTTTTAATGGCATTCTTCTGTTCACATAAATTCAAGTCATGAAATCTGCATAGAGGCGATTTGTGGGGATTTGTTGAGGAGTGAAATCTATCCCCTACAACATAGCGATGTGTATGACCAGTCACAGGGTGTTCCCACTCTTGAAGCTCTTTCTCGTCCTTATATCCCATTCTACTAGATTGAAATTCCAGCGGTACAAGGTGAGGTACGCTAACCTTAAAAACAAAGTAATTTTCAGTTAAAATACAGGATAAATTCAAGGGTCATCCGATATTTCTTTTGTGAAATAACGGAAAATTCTCGATATGATGTCTGCGATTTCACGAAACATTGCAGACAAACTAAAACTATTCTATGACTATCTGCATCACACAATATTCTGAAAACAGGTGGTTTCTTTTCCCGCATTTTGTCATGCATACTGTACATTTCTCGACGCAATTATGGTTAAAACCTAGATATTTAAACACTGTGAGTGACAAGAGTGAATCACTACCCATATCCCTCGAAAAATGCCTCCGTCATTTTTCAGAAACATGTAATGGGGTGAAATGTTCCAATAAAAAAGACAATACCTGGGATGGACATTTGTCTAAGCTTGGTGGTTCGAAACATCCAACGTTATCTCCCCAAAGATATTTTGTGACATTCGGCGCTCGAATATCAAGATGCCTTGAAAACGTGCATGGTGTATCATTCACGAAAAGCGACGGTGGGTATTTCAGGGAAAGATATATGTCTGCTGCATCCCGAACAGACTCTTGAAGCATCAAGAACTTTGATCCAACAGTTGTCTTAAATGTAATAAAATCGTCAAGTTTATACAATATATGTGCAGTACGTGTGCCTGTGCAAACAAATATTAATGAAATATTATCAATACATGTCATTAGTAATCGTGTGAACTTAGCTGAAAAGAAAACGTTCATACCCCATGGCGGCAAACAAAATGATAGAATCCCCCAGTATGTCCGATAACTTTTGTGAATTCGTGACATGGAGAGATGCCAACCAACAATGTTGCATACAACGATCGAAGCTCAGCAACCATTAGACCCTTGATTAAAAGATAAATAAATTATATAACTAGACTTATATAAATTATATAACTACACCGGATTTAATTATCAGGTCGGTGCATAAAACGAATAAAACCCTTCTGTTTCTTAAAAACCGTTATAGGCCTACGCCTATAACGGTTATAGGCCTAGGTATGCTACAGTAGTTCTTTAGGTTTCAAGATACCCCAGGCACACATCAACGAGATCTGTCATTAGACATTACTCAGCGAATTTTTAACCAAAGTTCTGCTAATAAAAGTCATTTTACCAAATTTTAAATTTTTCTGCTTACGTTTGACATGCCAGCAACATTTATGCCAGAAGCCTGACATACGGCACGGAGAGAATCAGCATTCCATGAATCGATATCGTTCATGTCAAGATTCTTCGACTTCATCAGTGCATGTAAAACTCCAGGGTCACCTAAAATACATAACTAATTGAGTGTGTTGGCTTTCCATCACAAATGTTCTGAGATAAAACCGTGTACTCACCGTTTATTTCTTTTCTTGGCTTCAAATACACACTCCTCTTCTGCATCTCCGTGTTATACACTTTCTCTGCTCTAGCGGATGGAGCAATGATAGGAGGTACTGTTGCGGCATCGACCTTACCATCATCTAATTCTGTTTTTGTGTATGTGGTTTTCTCCACCCAGTATTTTTTTATTCTCATCAGGAAGTCTTCCAAAGAAACAGGCTCACACTCATTATTTGAGGAGGAATTATTGAAGTTAACCTAAGAAAAAGTCTTTACATAATAAATTTATGGGTATCTGACAGGTTAATTAGTTGGGCCAACATAGTTTTAAATTTATACACTTACACAACTCAGATCACAGCAGTTCTTTTCATTTCCATCGCCGCAATATACCTCTCCTGCAACTCCACAGACACCACAGATAACGTCATCTAATGATCTTTCTGTGATAGCCTCGAAACAGTAAAACCCATTGTACAGTAGCTCCACCAAGTACCTTTGTTGACCGCTTGACGGAATGACATCCTCAAAGAGAAATAATGTCTGATTCTAAAATGTATTTGGTGTAAAGAGGCTTCAGTCTGTTATTTGTAGTGAGCATACGTAACATACATATAAGACACATGCATACACACACAAAACACATACACTCATGTTTTAAAACACATGTAGTGTTTGTGGTTTTCTTACATTAGAACATGTCGTCGCGCACCATGATCTGATTGTACTTTCAACAAATACTTTGACTGGCACTCCTCTCTTGAACAGCTCTCTCCATTCCACCAAAATCTCCAATGCAAGCAAGACCTTGTCATTAATATTAAAAAGACCTGGAATGTATGAAATACATCATGCAATAAACTTGGAACATTTTATGAAACCTTTCAATTAAATTCAGTCACATTTTGAGAAGTTTTAACAGATTTATCCCAGTTGTGATGTCATTTTAATTTGGTTAATTGCGTCAAGATGGCGGACTGCACGCTATTGCTATTTTACGTTGAAATATTTCGAAAACTAAGCAAGATATGGAAAAGCTGTAAAGGGACTTCATATATCATGCATTTTGAAAGATCTTTTAAATAAGGCAATTTGGGCTGCTTTATCTGGTCAGGGGATACTGATAGTAGGGTCCCGCTCGGAATGCCACAAAATGACAATAAAAAAGACATGAACGGAATATCTGAGACATTTCTTGTGAACTACAACAGGTTCCAGTTGAATTTTTCACTAAAATCATCGACAAAAAGGTCTTATTTGTCACACATTTAGAGGAGTTCACGAATTCAACTGTATATCCAAAACAAATGTGGTGGCTGTTTAATTTTATAAAAGAACTTCAAGAGAATTTCTACCAACATTTCATCATAACGATGGCCTAATATTACTACATTATATTATCATGGTCGAAAAATTATATATTCTTGAGGCGTTTTGGGTGTGGTTTTACTAAAGAAATGCTTTGTAAAAAAAATTATTTCAAAAAATTGAACTGTTTGGTTTTAAAAGAGAGTTTGGCATGATTTATGCTGGCATTAGGGCACAGGGAGCCAATCCTGGGTCTTACTAAAATAAGGTGTGAATTTACTGATACTCACCATCACTCAAAGGCCACACTCTATGCATTGCTTGGCATTCTGGATTCTTGCAGAATTTCACCAACACCTCCACCACATGAAACATATGTTGATGTGTCATGAGAAAAGCTTTACCATCTGAGCCTGGCTTCATTTTAGGTAAGCTCAGTTGAGTCCCACACATTTCACATGATTCTTGTGGAGGTATAAATGAAGATGGCCATGATTTATCTTCTATCCCTGCAGTACTCCAGGCATCAATGTTTCTGCACTTGATGATAAATTTGTTCGGCACTGGGTATGGTAGAGAACAACGAGCCATCAAATCCACAGTTCTTTGCCGACAAACTGAGCTGGTTCGAGGTTCAGCAATTTCTTCTGGGGAGGTTGGAGTTGGGACTGCTGTTGGTCTAACATGTTCCCTCAACACACACAACAAAACATGTACATGTAGGCAGATCCTCTTCGATTTCAACTGTTTTGTGTTGCCACCATGACTTTTGCAGTCTTTGGAGGAGCAGATGTAGTTGCCCTGACAAAAAATTACAGGTGGACAATAGCAGATTACAGTAGCCACAAATTCACATGTATATTTAATTTGATTTATAAATGGTACCCTTTGCATTAAGTACAGTAGGTGAGTTTATGTAGGTTATTAGACTAGGGTGGTCAGCAGCATTACTCGAAAATGTACAGTATGACCAACCAATAACCGTAACAGCTACAGGTATCTGCAACTCCAAATGTGTATTATACTACGTACTAGATAAAACATAAGCAGCCGATCTTTATCTGATATAAAGATCAGATGTGAAATCAAATCCTACTGTACCTTGTTGAATTGAACATGTGTATAGCATATTGGAGTTGATGTTGATGCTTTTCCATAGACAACAAAATTTTTGTCAGACACTTTCATGGCAACAGCTTGTGATGCTGACAATTTTTTCATTAGGGAGAATATAGTTTCTTGAGTGCCATTGTCAGCTGGATAGGTTCTGATGGATTCATCACTTAAAAAATACTTTTCGAAAGGTTCTTGTGGTTTACTGTCAATCTTTTCACTATGTTTACAGCTGAACGGCCTTCCTGAAGAACTTAGGTGGATTGCTCGTTGTTGTTTACATGTCTCATGGTAACAAAGGCAATTTGTTCCTTGCATCAAAACCAAGCACCGATCATCCCTCGTGCTGCTGTTTACTGAATACAGAGAAGTATCACCTTCTTTGTAAACAATGACACAGTCTGGAATGTTCAGTTTTGGCTTAGGCACATATGAACCTCCTATTTCAAAGTGGCATCCCTCACATAATTTTGGTTTCCGTGCTGTCATGTACTTATGGCCACATTTGGGACAACTGGCAGTGCCACGATTTGTCCATTTAGGTAAGACAACTGATTCATCCTAAAAGTTTATGAAAATATAAATATATTTTAATCATTCCCAACTCTAATTGTACAGTACAAGTTCTGACAAGTTCCTCTAAGTCTCCTGCAGTGAATTGTGGCATGTTCCTGTAAGTACTGTAATAATTGTGGCATGTGTTCCTGTAAACATTCAGGTCGATTAGTGATTAAATGTACCCATTGCTTGACGCATTTAATCACTAATCAGCCATAATGTCATGCTAGTAATTTGTAATTTTATGGCCACCGGCATACAAGGGACATTCTTTAAATTTATGGTATGCATAATTGTATGCATAATTAGTTACTAAGATAAAATCCGTAACCAATCGCGGCCTAATGGGTTAACTAGAGATATTGTCATATTTTTGGTTAACCCATTAACCTCTAGTCTCCTGCGCATACCTATTCAGCGTCGCCCTAGGGGGCCCGCACATAAGGTATGCTTGCTTTGGCCAAGGTTTCGTGTTCAGGCAATCCGCTGTTGTTTGTTCGTTAACCAATAGATTCAAAGGTCAATCGTTACGAAAATAAGGCCTGCAACCCAATTGGCTGAATGCCTGAACACGAAACCTTGGCCAAAGGTGCCTAGGTCTTGCTATTAGTGATTCTGTGATTATATAAACTAATAATAATATAATCAACATTATACCATAAATGATACATCTGATCACATCATAAAAATTTGCATTTTACAAATGACTTCATCATTAAAACATTTATACTATATACAATAGCGTTATTCACACCCAATCCTTAAAGATGGCATATTTATCAAACGAATTTATAATAAAAGACTCGCTTTACCGTTGAACCAGATGCCATGCTTGGCTAAGACCACAAATACTCCGAGCTTTGTCAAACCTGTACGTAAATATTGAAACCATCTGAATTGATACTGTTCATAACAACAATTTAATAACACCATTGCCTGAAGTATATTTTATCGCAAAACAAACTATACACGCTTCTTACCTTTGTTCAGATCTATGCCTTTCCTCGAATGACAAAATTTAATTGAACAACGCAGAGAATTCTCAAGACAAGAACGCAAAAATCCAATCGAAGTAAACAGAATAACGACGCAAAATCCCCAAGATATTTTACTGTATAAATTTGCAATTCGCTGCAAATGTCACATGGCATACAGTGGCGAAGAAACGGAAATTAATAAGCTTCTGAAAAACAGAAGGCTATTGGCTAATACATGCGGGGCTAATACATGCGGTGAGTTGCGATGAAAGAATGCAGATAAGAACCAATCAGCGACCTCGTTGCTAAGCCTACGTATTTACCGGTTTGTTGACGTAGAAGGCTGAGGATCTTCCACAGTTGGGGGTCCCTCAAGTACTCTCTAAAAATTATTCGAAAGATTTTATATCTTAGCTTTAAATACAACCTATTAAAAGTAATAAAATATATAAGTACAAACCAAAGCTAGTAAAACGCACAATTAAAAATGAAATATAGGTGAGTATACACGAGATATGACACATACCTTCCCTCGGCGTTGTAAGCGCATGGTGCGTTCACTATCAAAAGATGTCGCTTCAGGCAGCAGAGAAGGCACAGCAGTTACTCCAATTTTATCACGCTTAAGCTTCGGGGTCTTGTACTTCTCTACAGTGCTCGAACCGTAATCAAAACACTCTTCCGCGAAGTGTTTAGAGCACACAACTGAGCTAGCACTTGGCAGCCATTTGTCTCTTTTCCGCCGAATAAAGTCCTCCCATTTCTTTCTTCTGGCTCTCGCAATTTGCCTGCTATCGTCCCAATAAGGTATACGGTATAAAGATATACCTTTCTCCGAATTAGCTGTGTTGTTACAACCGTAGACAACACACCGTTCCGGCATTATTTTGAAAAACGCAAAGGATACCACCAGCGAAAATATATGTTTTTATTAGGAAAGACGGCGTGCTTGCAAATTAGGTTCCTGAGTCCCAGTTCCCAGAGCAACACGCCTTTTTTTTAAAAAATGCGAAAAACGCCCTGTTTGAAACCCGATATCTCGGAAACTATTGTTTTATATCAAAAAAGGATCTATACTTTACAAACTAACTTTTTACGCTCTTTCCAAATCCGTAAAGACGCCATGAGTGATATAGGCACTTTAAGAGGAATTTGTTTCTATGCCTGCATTTCGATAACAGTTCACTTCTTGAGTTTAAAGAACAAAGTTCAGACATAGAAACAAATTTCTCTTAAGCAATATAATTACTTGATATAATCTGTATATATTTATATGTAATTTAACACTAGAGCTTTCCGTTTACGTCAAACATGTATATAGTATATATAACCTTGGCAACAACATAGCGCGACATTTAAATTCACCTGATGAGTGTGGCAAGCGTTGCTTGTCATACGAAACAAGTTTGTATATATACATATATACACACATTGGCAAAAACGTTGGCCGCAGATAGATATATAGATAGATACTCGAAATCTAATTAGAATTGCATATGTTGTGTAATAGGATTGAAATCCCATGCAAATGTAATCATATGCAATTCTAATTAGACTCCGAGTATCTATCTATCTATCTATATATATATATCTATATATATATATATATATATATATATATTATATATTATATATATATATATATATATATATATATATATATATTATAATATATATATATATATATAATATATATAATCTATTCCAAATAGACTTTTGTAGAACACAGAGTGCTCAATACATAGAATGCAGAGCGTGTTATAACAATTATAAATACAATTCTTTTAATTAGTTGCTACTTTAAGTTTCATGCACTTAAGCAATCATCAGGCAATTTAACCGTGTTTTTATTAGTACGTTGCCTGATGATTGCTTAAGTGCATGAAACTTAAAGTAGCAACTAATTAAAAGAATTGTATTTATAATTGTTATATATATATTATTATAATATATATATATATATATATTATATATATATATATTATATATATATATATATATATATTATATATATATATATATATATATATATATATATATATATATATATATATATATATATATATGTGTGTGTGTGTGTGTCGCGCTGCGATATTGTAGAAGTGGAGATCGATAAAATAGTTCACGCTTCGTACTTGAACGCAAATGGTAACATTATTTCTTTTTCTTTTAGATAAACAGCGTTATATTTATTCTGGCCTTTCGAAAAATTTTATACTCCACGAACATAAACAGAACTCGTACAACGGCTATAACGACGTCAAGAAAGGCAATAATTGGTCTCAAAGGTTCAGCTATCCTGCTTCCAATACTTGGATTAACGTGGGTGTTTGGTTTCCTGGTATTTAATCACGACACGGTCGTGTTTAAATATCTCTTCGCAATATTCAACTCCCTACAAGGACTGATGATATTTCTTTTCCATGTGCTTCTAAATAAAAACGTATGTCAATAAAGTCAATAAACAATTACTTAATTAAGAAATAGAATTTTCCGGAAGGAATAGGAATAGAACATTTTCCGTGTTTCTATACAGTTATAGAAACACGCGTGGGAGTTTGGGAGAACGAGAAATAATCACTGTGAAAACGAGCCCGTAGGGCGAGTTTTTCCACGTTATTTCGAGTTCTCCCAAACTCTCACAAGTGTTTTTATAACTGTATAGAAACACAGGAAAAAATGTTTTCTATTTCTTTTATAATACAACTCGATAAAAAGATTTTGTACAAATATTATAATTCGATTCAATTACAAATTCTCATTACATCGCTTCGCTTGCCAAGTTCGGCGGGAAAATTCCCGTGTTTCTATACAGTTTTAGTATACACCTAACTATTGTCTATTACAAATCCTACATTCTGATTGGCTACTCAACCATCGTCTATTCGTGATAGTGCACGTTTGGGAAAAATTCGCTAGCGCGACCGTATAAAATTGAATTAATTAAATTATTTTTCGGTGAAATTTTGCGGTGTATCGATTATTTCCTCGAAATTAATATATCTAGGTACAGGGTATACTAAAACAATTAGACAACTCGCCTTCGTTGTCTATGAGCGGATAGTCAACTCCGGCTTCGCCTTCGTTGACTATTCGCTCATAGACAACTCGGACTCGTTGTCTAATTGTTAAATAGAAACACGCTTCTCGACCAATAAGCAAGCGCGTACTATAAATGTTATATTATAATTCATTATTCATATCTTTCGTATCAAATGTAGTAACAAAATTTTAATACTAAAATATTGTAATATTGTAATAAAATTTGTCTAAAATAAGCAACGACATTTTTTTGACGTTTCGACGTAAATACCTTCGTCAGGAGAGTTATAGGGCATTTTTTATTGGCAAATTAAAGTTTGCGACCAACCAAATTTTTTTTTCTGTTTATTTAATGTCGAAACTTTATCCCGCATTCCCCGCAAACCGCGTAAAGTTTTTAGCTCTGACGTTACTATTCCGGGTTGGGCGAAGTTGGCGAAAATTAAGAATTCGACAAAGTTGTTGACCATGCAGGGGCCAGTTGTATAAAAGAACAGTGAACTCTATATATATTGAAGGCTCGCTGTAGTACATTGCGTAATCTAAAAGTGAAGCCAAACATGGCGGATCATGAAGGCTGCTTGGGTACCGAACCAGACCTCCACGCACGAGCGGTTGAATTCAATATGGCGGCAACGTGTAGGAGTGGAACTCGGTCAGTTTTGTAAACACAACACAAATATAGGCCATAAGTTACCTCTCTAGAAAGAATAACATTGCCAGGTAAGGTTGTGACAAATTGTATCTATTCATTTTTAAAAACTTTGTATTTTAAAAACTTTGTAACGTCCGAAATGTTACCTTTTTTTATTTTTCGTCATAGTCTTATAATTCGTGTTTTTAATTTCCACGCGCGCTTCACGCATTTTACGCTTCGTGGAGGACTGGTTCGGTACCCAAGCAGCCTTCATGGTCCGCCATGTTTGGCTTCACACTTTGAACTGGAGCGAGCCTTCCATATATATAGAGTTCACTGTAAAAGAGTAGTTAACTTTAAAAAAACTGTAGTTAATTAGGATTTAACTATGCAAAATATAGTTAAAGAGTTTTATACAACCGGCCCCAGTCAGAAAGTCACCCCGACAAACGGGAAGATTATGTTCAAATATTATGAGGAAGATATTCTCCCGCTTACCGCGACCTCGCATTCCAAGTTTTATCAAGAACATTTTGTGTCATAGGAACGCAATCTTAGTATGATTCCATAACTATGCTGACTTTATACGATGCTGACTTTACATGTTTACGTATACCTGCGATATGCGCTTTACTGATTTAACTAGCCTGAACAGCCTTAATACAACGTTCCTTCGACAAGTCGTCTTTGCTACAGCAACCTCTTAACCATGTTTTCAAAAACAAACTAAAAAACAAACGAAGAAAAGGGGAAAAACATCTCCCCGAAGCATTCACTTTTTTATCCAATAGTTTCAGAGTTTTTTTTTGGAAAGTATATATTTTATTTGTTATGCCTACCGTTTTTTAGTAGAACAGCTTTGGATTTAATTAGCTTTAGCCAAGGCGTAATTGGCATTTGCATCAAGTAGAGTCGGAGGGTGTCTGGAACTTCATTGACCGCAATTTTTTACCGAATAAATACATATTTCAAAGAAATAATAGCATTTTAAAGCAAAAATATTTCCAACTCGTTTGAAAAATAGCCGGAAATGTGGATAAAAGTTCATCAAGTGATGCCGACAAATAGTATTTCATATTTGTTCTATGAATATTTCTAAAATGAACAAAAATTATCGCCGGTTTGAGAATTAAACCCGCCAATAACAATATCTTTTGCCTAAAGGCAAAGCCATAATATTTTGATTTTGTCAGGACTGTCTGCTTCCCATATCGAGAAGAAATTGCCTCAAGGCAAAATTCATTTCGCACGAATATATTCGCTAATGGAAAACTATAGTTACTAGTTTTTTTTTATTATTATTCAAACATCTGTAAAACTGCCAGTAAACATTTTCAGAATACTATCGGAAGTTCAAATGATATTTAAAAGTATCGTGCAGCCAATTGGCACAGTTCACTGATGCTTGTGATTTCCACTTTTTCCCTGAACCCTCGTAAGTTGGATTGACTGAACAATTCTTTTACAACTGATTACTATAAGAGCATCTTCAACATACGAATTAAAAAGTAGAATTCGAATGAATATGACATCCAAAAAGCCGTCTTTATTTTATTTCTTTCATAAAAACCGACTTTTGTATAGTCGAAAAAACATAAATGCTTGTATAACAAACTCGCAGTGGAATGACCGTATTTACAAATATGAGCTGTTGGGCATAATTTAATAATTTTATACAAGTTGGTATCACGGAATGTTGGTATCATTCGAATGCGGTATTTTTTTATATGCTTACATATGCTTACAGTTAATGTGTCCCAAACTATGTTGCATCTTTTGCTTATATTTCCATGAGATTCACTTTCTTCCATTATTTAACTTTTCCCGCTTTCAATTGTAGTTCCGACAATGCGGCTCCCAACTGGCCATATCTCCCGATCATCATTAATCATGTTGGAATGCTAGGGGTAGATATATCTTGCTGTTTTACCTTTTAGTGCTATATTCATAATGTTGACTGCCTAGTATCATGACATCTCACAGATGCCTAAATTGGCGCCGGGTAGGCACCTTACTGCTGCCCCTCCTAGGCGGCGAAGATTCAAAAGATGGTACTGCAGTTTGTTAATGTAGGAAGTTTATGAGCTTTGTGGAAAACGGCAAACAACAAGATCGAACATTCTCAGCAAAATTTCCGTTCAGCTACTTTCTTATCTTATGTCAAATCGTTGATAGTACCTAGAGTTTTAAAATATTGAGTCAATTTCCACTTGAATGCCTTTTACCTAGCTAATTGTTTTTTTTTCTTTGCCGTTTGTCGTTTGACGTGTAACGTACAGCTTGACTCTTGGACATAAATGCTTGGAACGATGTGAGAAATGCATTTAACGGGCTTAAGGGATAGCACAATCAAGCTGCAGAAACATGAGAATACGCTTGTATTGAAAGAGCTCGTTCAAACTCATTGAATGATCAAAGAGAAAGTTATTTCTTAGTCAATGGAAAGGTCTCAGATGGAAAGGTCTCGTTACCGATGTGCCACCTGACACGTTTTAAAAAAATCGAGTGTTTGAATGATCAACTTATTTCAAAATTCTTAGGGTTTTTAAAAGCTCTCCTTAAAGTTCACACCTCCTTGCCTTATAAGAAAGATAACAATAATAGCCTTGAATTTAATTTAAATCATAAATGTATTATAACAAATTTATCTATATATCTTAAAAAAATTAAATTATCAATCAAAATGAACATTATGGCTTTAATTTGATCTTTTTTATAATTTTAACTAATATTCAATATTTTAAGCGATTTTTTACTTTGAAAATGCTTTTGTTTTATTTCATGAGTTTTGCAAAGCTTCTTCGTTGGATCAGCCGTTTGCGCTGCAATGTTTTAGGCCATGTAAATCATCCATTAGCGAGAGGGTCTCAAACTGGTTGTAGTCTATATTAAAATTGGCATATATTCTCTACTCCGTGAATGAGTGATCTAGTAATTTTCATTCATCTTGCCTCTCTCGAAAATCCAGTTTCATGAAACTCTTGCCGTATTTTTTATATCATTGCAAGTAACAAGCTATATATAATTAATACTTTAAGTCCTCCCTTAGCGACCTTTATGAAATCGAAACTACTGAAAATCGCCAACTTTTTAATTGAAAGCGTCGTCTTAATTCATAGCGACTTATATGGTCAAAAATTTTGTGAAGAAAGCTATATCTGACATGTTTTCACACTCATTGTAGCTTTCAGAAGGTGACTTTGAATTCAAGGAATTTATTTATTTTTACTCGAGTCCTAATCTACTAGTTTCTATGGAGAATTGCCAGAATTGGCTGAGTCATATTTCAAGTAGTCTTATATTGACTTTAATCGCACATCGTTTCATTTTAATATAATCGTCTAATTCCTTAGCGTATGAGTGTATTTTTCTATCTCTTTCCGTGGACTTATGCCAAAAGTTGCTAAGTTCTTATCATATTTTCAAATTGCTTGTCAGTATTGATTCTAACTACAAAGCATTTTATTTTATTCTATTATAAGCCTTTACTACGTTGGCAGAAAGACATGCAATATAGTAAACTTATAGTTAGTAACAAAATAGGGCAATCAAAATTGACAATCAGAACTTTTTACTATACTTGGTAACAAAATAAGCCAATACAAATGGCCGGTGACACGTTTAATCTTATATTTGGTTTGCAAACGCGCTTGAAAGTCAGATTATTGGTATTAACACTAGCCATAGTCATTTACTTCGAAAGGGCACTTGTCGTTTATCGTTGAAGCCTTGAGGGCTAAATGAACCTCCACGTGCGTGTGTGACATCAGTTTCGTTTACATATGTCAACAATATCTTGAATGATATGAAATATAGCTACACTGATTTACAAAAATAAACACAGAACTATATCACCAATAAAACGGGAATATTTTCAGAAATACATCGCACTGAACGGTGGGTTCAGTAATAAACGCAGCTCCAAGACGGAAGTGTGGAAAAATGACTGCAACAAAACACAACTTATTTGTTCTATATCCAATCCTGATCATATCACATGCGTTCTACAGCGTCACAGAAGCAGGTATAAGTTTTTAGTTGAACAGTAACCTTATTTTTACTTTTATTTTTCCCGTTTTCCAGTAACCAATGGATTGTTTTGCTATAATGTTGTAGCGAGTGTTGATTTACCCAAATCTTATATCGTTTTTATCGTTATTCTTCCAACTCTATGGAAACTCCCCCCACTTGTTTGTCACTTGGAACATTAAAAAATTAGAACTTGATTTCAACTACTTTCCCTCAAGTATCGCCACGTTTTCCAACTTCATCACCATCATGAAATACACTATTATATTTTACTGCTGCCTGCCGAGGATTAACTTGAAATCCAGCAATTTTATTCAACCCAATATTATATAATGCTGAGAAGTGAGTGTCAATTTTGTACATGTATTGGTATTTTGAGATTCAGTTATTTGGTCTAATTTTACTGATGATGAATGAAGTGGTTATAAGCGTTCAAGAGAGCAAAAATCCCCTTAATTAAATAAAATCCACCTTGTTTCACCCAATCTGTTTCAGTAAATGTTGAAACTTCGGATTACTTGGCTAATAAAATCGGCCAAGGTCATACATTTAGCTAGCTGCTAGCAGTAAAAATTCAAACTATATAACGCAACCATAAGCAAAGTCGCGTAAGTACATTTTAACAAAAACAGGGATTTTACATGCTTTTTAAAAAAGATCTTCAGTTGACCTTGTTTTAATCAAATAAATTGTTTACCAAACAACGCACCGTTTCAATATACAGGCACTTAGATTTTCGAAAAAGATGTCTGTCCCAATTAGACGCTTTTTAATAATCAATAATCAGTCTACAACTAAAGTGATCGCACTCGATTTATAATGAATTTGAACCTGAGTATTCTGTACTTTGCATGAACAGTATTTTTAGCCTTTGTATTTTCTAGTCTTGGGTGGGCAGGTGTCTGCCAACTACCGTTACCCTAGGCAACTTTCCTTGCAACGTGCAATGTAATTGTACTCTTGAGGCTTCTATAGTCAAATACGAACATTTCGTACGATCTGCTAACTTTTCTTAGCATTTGAACACTCTTTACAAATGAAACATCGCTCAAAATTGTGGTTGATTTGCAAGTTGGAAGGGAAAGTGCTTAGTGCAACAGCGCCTTCAGTTGACGTTGTCTCTCTTCCAGGTGGAAGTGGATGTCCGATGTTGGGAAAATATTTTGGTAAATTTTGTTACTTCGCGAATAGTAAACGTTTCAGTTGGACTTATGCGAATATACAATGTACCAAAATGGGTGGCCAGCTTGCCAGGGTGACCAGTGGTGCTCTTAACACATTTCTTGCGCAAACATTCAGAGTTGAAAGGGCTTGGATTGGATTAACAAAGTGCCGAGGGAAATGGTGTTACCCCGATAGAAAAACATCATTTTATTACAATTGGGATACGAATCAGCCAGATAATAAAAGAAGATATGAATATTGTGTAGAAATGTTCCAGAACACACGATTCAGTGACGAACGATGTGCATCCCCCAGGGCATCTATCTGCGAAATACGTATGTTCTACTTTATTTATTAATTTATACTATGAATACATCAATCCAGTCGGTATATACAAGGTGAGTTAAAAAACCTGACACCTTTGAAATTCAAATTAGCCGCGAACTTATGGCTGGAATTTGACAATTCCCATTGTGTACAATCAACAAGACGTGGTTAATTAATGCGAAAGTATTTAAACCAATTGAACTAATTCGAATTTCTTTTGTATTACAGGGCTTAGAATGCATTTTAACTCCCAAAGGGAACAAACTTTATGTTCTAGGTTAATTAATGGTTCACTTATTTGATATGCTTCGTATACCCATGAGATATTTTAGGCAACTTCTGTCACATTACAGCCGATTACAGACACATTGCAGCTAATTTGAATTTCAAAGGTGTTGGGTTTTTTTCTCACCCTCTTTTAATGGCAGAATACCAATAGAAATATTTTTAGGACAAATTAATCCTTTCCACCCGACTATCAAAGGGTTAAAAGCACTATAAAATTTCGAGAATATTCTGTACGGCAATCCACAAATTAATTTACGTAATTTATACACTATAATTTCGACAAGTGCACTTAAGCTCACTCAAACTCATGGAGGGAGATCTCAATCACTTCATATAGCCTTTATCTTAAATCTCCTCATAGATTTAGAAAGCTTAAGATTAGATTAAATTTTTTCATGGATTAATTTGCATTGATGAATAATAATACGAATAATAATATAATTTTCTATTTCAAAAAATTCAGCTAATTTTGCCAACGTGATAATGTACTAACTGGTACAAATTTTTAACACTATAACAGCAGTAGACGACGTTGATGAATGTTTGTTGGGAACACACAGGTGTCATTCCCAAGCCACGTGCAACAATACCATTGGATCATACACATGTACTTGTAACGAAGGATTTATAGGAAATGGCAACGTTTGCAATGGTACATTACATTACACTACACTTCAAGTTGTATTAAAAAGAGTTTCCGCTTGGTAAATGTCTTATACTTTATTTTCAGTCGTCCATAAACTTCGTTTTTGAATTCATTTCTAAAAACACGTCTCTTATTCGGAAAAACGCTATTTTCGCACACTTTTTGTGTACAGTAGCAGTGCGAAGGTCTCAAACTATCCACGCATACCAAGAAAATTTCCTAACGATACGGGTTCCGAGAAGACATTTACTTAAGTGGTGAACGATTTTATACCGTGCATTTATGCTTAGTCACATTTACCTAGGTAATGAACCCATGTTTTTTGCATTTTACTAATTTAGACAAGGATGAATGCGCTTTGGAAACTCACAGATGTCATTATCAAGCGCTGTGCAACAATGCGATTGGATCATATAGCTGTACTTGTAAAGAAGGGTTTACAGGGAGCGGAAACATTTGTGAAGGTATAGTAAATGGTACTGGTACGATAGCATGGGCTTTTTGAAATGCTAAAATGCAAATATATTTTAACACTACCATGATAATATTTTTTTATGATAAAAGTTTTGAAGCGCTTCATCCAGATCTTTTAGGACATGATTTCAGGGCAAGCGTCATGAATGATCCTTTCTTATCAAAATACTGTCTTGTCACACTTTTATCCATTATTTCATGCTTTTGCAAGTATTTTCTTCTTTTGGCTTTTATTAGTTCCTCCATTCAGTGCGGCTTGTTTGCATGCAAATGACGTACCACCACTAATTACGGACCATCCACTAATTTTCTCATTCTCATTTTCTCATTTCTCATTCTCGCTAATGAAAAGTGCAATTAATATAATTTTTTGGAAATCAACGATCTTAGACAATGATGAATGTCGTTTGGAAACACAGAGCTGTCATTCTCAAGCCTCTTGCACGAATACTGTTTTGTGCAACAATGCAATTGAATGATATATACTTGTACTTGTTATAACGGATTATCAGGAGATGGAAAAGTTTGCGAATGCGCAGAAAATTATTGCATAACATGTGTTCATGTTTATGTAAATGCCGATAGTAAACCTTATTATGTTTCAAGCTATATCAATCACTTAGACAAAGATGAGTGCTCGCTGAGAAATCACAAATGTCATTTTAAAGCCTCGTGCAACAATACCATTGGATCATACACCTGTACTTGTAATGACGGATTTACAGGAAATGGGATCGTTTGCAAAGGTATAGAATGTATGGAGGCGTTTTCATTTGCATGCTGACGTTATATTTTTTGGAATCTTCAATTTAAGAACATAGCCGCCACAATACTATAGGATGATACACCTGTACTTGTACATGAAGGGTTTTCAGGAAAAGAAAACATTTACAAGAGTACCGTAAACAAAACGGTGGCAAATAAGTGCACATAAGTTTTATTTGCAAACTAGGTAATTAATATTTTTATTTTGGAATCTACTATAGACATTGATGAATGTACTTTGAAAACGAAAAAGTGTCATCCTCAAGCCTCGTGCAACAATTCCATTGGATCATACACCTGCTCTTGTAATAAAGGATTTATTGGAAATGGGACCATTTGCAAAGGTATGAATGTAGCATACGTGCTTTATTTTTGTCACGCTGAATACTGAATATTTTGGAATGCATCACGCAGACGAGAATGAATGTGCCTTGGAAACTCACAGATGTGATTCTCACGCCACGTGCAGCAATACTATTGGAGCATACACATGTACGTGTAATCGAGGATATAACGGAAATGGGACCGTTTGCGAAGGTATGGTTGCCTCAGCATACACACTTTATTAAGTGCGGCCAGTTTGCATGCAAATAACGTACCACCACTTTGTTAACTCATTAAAATCATCAGTAAATCATTAATAAACAGATTGTGCGTTTCTCAACCAATTAGCATTCACTAATTTTTTCATGCTAATGAAAAGTGCAATTAATATTATTTTTTGGAAATCAACGATCATAGATAATGATGAATGTCGTTTGGAAACACACAGTTGTCATTCTCAAGCCTCTTGCACGAATACTATTGGATCATTCACCTGTACTTGTAATGAAGGATTTTCAGGAAATGGCAACGTTTGCAAAGGTACAACAAGTCAGATAGGAAGAAATAAGGGCTCTGAATTATATTTGCATACTGGGTGGTGATTTTTTTGTTTTGTGCAACAATGCAATTGAATGATATATACTTGTACTTGTTATAACGGATTATCAGGAGATAGAAAAGTTTGCGAATACGCAGAAAATTATTGCATAACATGACTTCATGTTTATGTAAATGCCGATAGTAAACCTTATTATGTTTCAATCTATATCAATCACTTAGACAAAGATGAGTGTTCGCTGAGAAATCACAAATGTCATTCTCAAGCCTCATGCTACAATACCATTGGATCATACACCTGTACTTGTAATGAAGGATTTACAGGAAATGGGACCGTTTGCAAAGGTAAAGAATGTATGAAGGCGTTTTCATTTGCATGCTGAAACTATATTTTTGGAATCTTCAATGTCAGAACAGAGCCGCGTCAATACTATAGGATGATACACCTGTACTTTTAATGAAGGGTTTATAGGAAATGAAAACGTTTGCAAGCGTGCCGTAAAGAAAACGGTGGCAAATAAGTGCACATAAGTTTTATTTGCAAACTAGGTAATAAATATTTTTATTTTGGAATCAACTATAGACGTTGATGAATGTACTTTGAAAACGAAAAAGTGTCATCCTCAAGCCTCGTGCAACAATTCCATTGGATCATACACCTGCTCTTGTAATAAAGGATTTATTGGAAATGGGACCATTTGCGAAGGTATGAATGAAGAAAACGTACTTTATTTTTGACACGCTGAATACTGAATATTTTGGAATGCATAACGCAGACGAGAATGAATGTACCTTGGAAACTCACAGATGTGATTCTCACGCCACGTGCAGCAATACTATTGGAACATACACATGTACATGTAATCGAGGATTTAACGGAAATGGGACCGTTTGCGAAGGTATGGTTGCGTTAGCATACGCACTTTATTAATGTCATGCTGTTTACCGAATATTTTGGAGTGCAAAACAGTTTGCATCAGAGAGTAGGAAATCATAATTTTATTTGCCAACTTGTAATTAATATTTTTTTTGGAATCAACAATAGACACTGATGAATGTACTTTGGAAAGTCACAAATGTCATTTTCGAGCCTCGTGCAACAATACCATTGGATCATACACCTGTTCTTGTAATGAAGGGTTTATAGGAAATGGGACCGTTTGTGAAGGTTTGGCTATGTAGCAAATGTTCTTTATTAATGACACGCCTATTACGAAATGTTTTAGAATATATGTATATTCATGCTAGACGAGAATGAATGTTCCTTAAAAACTCGCAGTTGTCATTTGCAAGCTTCGTGCAAGAATGCTATTGCATCATACACCTCTTGTATTGCAATGCAATACCTCCCTGAGGCTTCTATAGTTGTCAAATATGAACATTTCTTACTATCTGCAACACTCTTTACAAATTAAGCATCCCTCAAAATTATGATTGCTTTGCAAGTTGGAAGGGAAATGGCTTAGTGTAACAGCGCGTTCAGTTGACGTTGTCTCTCTTCCAGGTGGAAGTGGATGTCCGACGTCGGGGAAATATTTTGGTAAATTTTGTTACTTCGCGAATAGTAAACGTTTCAGTTGGACTTATGCGAATATACAATGTACCAAAATGGGTGGCCAGCTTGCCAGGGTGACCAGTGGTGCTCTTAACACATTTCTTGCGCAAACATTCAGAGTTGAAAGGGCTTGGATTGGATTAACAAAGTGCCAAGGGAAATGGTGTTACCCCGATAGAAAAACATCATTTTATTACAATTGGAATACGAATCAGCCAGATAATAAAAGAAGATATGAATATTGTGTAGAAATGTTCCAGAACACACGATTCAGTGACGAACGATGTGCATCCCCTAGGGCATCTATCTGCGAGATATGTATGTTCTACTTTGTTGACTAATTTATACTATGAATATATATCAATCCAGTCGGTATATATCATGCCAGAATACTATACCTATAGAATTTTTTTTAGAGACAAATTATTCCTTGTTGCCAGACTATCAATTCGCCTTAGCTTTGGTACAAATATTATAGGGTAATATTTACAAAGGGTTAAAAAGCACTACAAAATTACGAGAATATTCTGTACGGAATCCACAAATCCATTTACGTAATTTACATACTATAATTTCGACAAGTGCACTTAGCCACTTAAACCTGTAGTTCAAAAGCTCACTCAAACTCATGGAGGGAGATCTCAATCACTTCACATAGCCTTTATCTTAAATCTCCTCATAGATTTAGAATGCTTAAGATTAGATTAAATTTTTTCATGGATTAATTTGCATTGATAAATAATAATACGAATAATATTATGATTTTCTATTTCAAAAAATTCAGCTAATTTTTCCAACGTGATAATGCACTAAATTTTACAAATATTTTAACACTATAACAGCAGTAGACGACGTTGATGAGTGTCTGTTGGGAACACACAGGTGTCATCCTCAAGCCTCGTGCAACAATTCCATTGGATCATACACCTGTTCTTGTAATAAAGGATTTATTGGAAATGGGATCGTTTGCAAAGGTATGGACGTGGTAACCTTCTCTTTTTATTTTTGACATGCTGAGTGCTGAATATTTTGGAATGTATAATGTAGACTTGGATGAATGTGCCTTGAAAACTCACACATGCCATTCTCAAGCTACGTGCAGCAATACCATTGGATTATACAACTGTACTTGTAATGGAGGATTTATTGGAAATGGGATCGTTTGCGAAGGTATGTTTGCGTTATCATCATACGTGAAGTATTAATGACTTGCTGTTTACCGAATATTTTGGAGTACAGGAATGTTTTCAAAAGCATCATAAGGCTGACAGTAAGGAATGATGGCTATTATGCTTACTTTTTACTGGATATCGTATTTTTGGAATCAACCATAGACGCTGATGAATGTACATTGGAAAGTCACAAATGTCCTTCTCGAGCCTCGTGTAACAATACTCTTGGATCATATACTTGTTCTTGTAATGAAGGATTTGAAGGAAATGGGACCATTTGTAAAGGTACAATAAGTCATAGAGTAGAAAATCGGGGTCGTTATTTTTAATTACATGCTGAGTACTAAATATTTTTACTAAAGACCGTGATGAATGTACTTTGGAAACTCACCAATGTCATCCTCATGCCTCGTGCAACAATACCAATGGATCATATACTTGTACTTGTAATAAAGGACTCAAAGGAAATGGGACCGTTTGTGAAGGTATGGTTTTGTTAGCATTAGCGTTTTATTAATGCATTGCTTAATATTAAATGTTTGTGAATCTGTATTCGTAGACATGGATGAATGTTCCTTGAAAACTCACAGATGTCATTCTCAAGCCACATGCAACAATACTATTGGATCATACAGCTGTACTTGCAACAAGGGATTAAAAGGAAATGGTACCATTTGTGAAGGTATGGTTGTGTTACCATACGTGCTTTAATGGCATGTTGTTTACCGAATATCTTGGAATATGTAATCAATGTAAGACGAGAATGAATGTGCCTCTTAAACTCACAGGTATCATCCTCGAGCCCAGTGCAGCAACGCTGCTGGGCGATAACAGAACAATATACAACTTTAATCTATTACTAAAGATGTTTCGGGGGAAAATTCTCTCCAAACTAACTGTCAACTTTTTGTTAGACGTTATATGCATAAACGTGCACATAGTGCCTTGAAAAAGGAGATAATGCGAGGAAAAAATGAACAATATGCAATAATTGCCATGCCGATCCAACCTGAAAGTGCAAATATGAGAATTGCAGATAATGAAAAATTTAAGAGCAAAACATATACCACATGAATTACAATCCATTTTAAATCTATATCATTTGATAATACACTTCATACCCGGAAATTCCATTTTTCCTCTTGAAAATTGAAAAAAAAGCATTCCGCGAAGGATTCCTAGAAAAATACGAATGCGTAGATAAACGAAAAGTAGACAAAAATTAATTTTATTTAATTTTATTTAATTTAATTAAATATTATTTTACTAATTTAATTTTTCATATTCTACTAGTCTTAATTCCCCAACGAAAAAACAGGCTCGTTTCTTTAGTCTTGGTTTCTGGTAAAGTGAACTTCAGCAAGAAAGACAAGTTTAGAAAACTCATGAAGGAGGTAAACTAGAATTATGGACGTTCATACTATACATCCAAATAATTGTGCAGTAATGCATCGTTGGACTGATCAATCATCAATCAGCACAAAAGTTTTTCCGCGCATAAAAAGTTCATTATTTAACTTTTAGGTGGATGAACTATATAAAAAGAATGCAACTGCTCGAGAAAGATCCGCACAAAATATCATCCAAGAACTGTCTAATCTTACTGGACGTTATCCTGGAAATGAAAAGGAAGAAATGCTAGGTTCCGAATATCTTTATGGCACCGTTAAAATAATTCAGAAAATTGTTAATTTGAATATTTCTGATGATTGTTTTAACATATTGGGCCCTGCAAATAATATATTGGATGATAGAAACAGAGAATCCTGGAGAAATATGACGGTAAGTTCCCATATTTCCCATTTTCCTCCATTTCTGGTCGCGTTTTCTGCTGCAAAAGTACGCAGGCTCTTCTCATTCGTCTTATCACAAAGGAAAACAGAACTATCATTCTTGTGCGAGAGCGGTGAGATCTTTTAACATGCATTTAAGCAAGTTTTCTATGACAAGTGTTTATACGACAAGTTTTAATTGGCAATTGCACGTGCTTATAATGCACAACAAATTATTGACAACGTGAGCGCGCCATTGCAAAATACTATAGTACGCTGGCCAACCGCATACAAGTGGTCACATTATGTGACAAGTTTTCTTTGTTGACTCAAATTTTTCGGTGCAGCTCTTAGATTTGTCCCATGAAAATAATTGCACTGTTTTTTGTCGCACACACAGAAGAACAAGGCCATTTACCTACTTTTACTCACTTTACTATATTGTGCTTCTCGCAAGACGCACCTTTCCTATCCCCTGTCGGTTTTTACATCCAATATTAGGATTGTTCGTCGTATTTCTACTTGCCATCTTTATGTTTCCTAATCCAGACTTTTCTTTCTTTCTTCATAATTTCTCCAAAAAATGACTTTTTAATTCATTTCATTGTCTTGAGTATACCAACGATGTTAATATAAAACTCGCTCGGTAGGTTTTTCTTATGTCCATTACTTTTTATGATTTTCGCTTCAATTTCTTTTTTAAATTCTTCCTTTTATTCCTCCGTTAGAACCGGAATACGGTCCGTGATCTGGCGGTAACATTGCAAAATTATGGATTTCAATGTGGGGAGAAATTAAAGAACAACAAAAGTACCTCGCCTATATTTCGCAATCATTCTAACGTGCAGATACGTGTCAAATACCAAAAGCCCTCAGAATTTCCACCTCAGGAAAGGGTTTTCAATTTCCCAAATACATCGTTCATTTTATCACCGGACGCAATTCGGAACACTTCCGGAGCTGTGGTAGTTGTCGTGTGGTATAAGACACTGAACTTATTCCTGACAAACATTGATTATGATGGCAGTAACCATACAGTAAACAGCAAAATCATTACTGCTAGCGTCCGACCTGAACCAAAAATGTCGTTTAAAGAACCTGTTCGTATCATCTGGGATGGAAAAGGATTGGTATGTGCAGTAGATATTCTTCATGAATCTTAGAAATATAATTAATCTTTTCATTCTTGTAAAGTAAGAATGTCTTCGTTTTGTGGAATATTCAACGATTTCGCTTACGCCTGAATTGTTGAATGGAACCACATAGAACGATTCAACTTTCAAATCATAAAAATATGCGATACATTACGCCCAAAAAAATCATTATAAGTACACTATTCCAACCTGTTCCATGGTATTTTATTATACTTTTAATTATACATTAGCTACTATTTCGATAGTTGAAATTACAGTCATATGATCAACACAGAACAGAAAAATGCGAATCCTAAAAATTGATTTTTCATGCCCAGGACAAACCAAAACGTTGCGTGTATTGGAACCCAGAATTAAATGAAAATGCTTGGAAATCCGACGGGTGCAAGAGAGGCGAGTTAAATAGTGACCGTTTACTATGTGAATGTGACCATCTCACTGCTTTCGCTAATATGGACATTTCGGAGACAAGTTTGGTAAGCTTTGAAAGCTAAAAAGTGTAATATATTCCATAGGAATTTGAATTTCTTTATTCACTAAAGGTAATTCAATATATTCAATAGTTAAGTAAAGCTGAGCGGGGCGCTTTGGAGAAAATAACAACAGTTGGTTGTGTTCTATCATTGGCTGGTGTGATATTGACGATATTAGCCCACGTGTTGCAGTGGAAAAGAATCCACAGAAATGCCAAAAGCAAAGTTCCTTCTAAAGTTCTCATGAATCTCTGCGTTGCGATTGGAATGACAAATGTCCTTGCTATCCTTGCAGGACCCGGACGTGATGAAGAGGTTTGGATACCTTTAACTGCAAATTCTTTTAACACCAATTAATTTTCTTTTTGCCTTCATCTTCCCATAAAACTATTTATCTTTAATTAACTTAGCATCAAATGTTGTATAACAACACCTAAAATAGACAAAAAACTTCTCGACGTTTTGACCTGAGGGCCTTCGTCAGGAGAGTTATATAGTATAGTTAGTCCTACTAACTCTCCTGACGAAGGCCCTCAGGTCGAAACGTCGAGAAGTCTTTTGTCTTTGTTTCGAAGCCTCGAGAAGTGTTTTGTCTATTTTAGGCAGTTGTTATACCACATTTGATGCAAAGTTGTTTGAAGACGCTGCCACGCTACTCCCTGGTTATATTGGAACTTATTCATCTATTTATCTACCTTCATCATTGATTTCTCTTTTTCTTTCAGTTATTTTGCATAACCGTTTCAATCTTGTTATATCTTTCGGTACTCGCTTTATTTGGATGGATGTTATGCGAAGGGATAGTTATATATTTACAACTGGTTAATGTTTATGCCGGTTTGAGCTTGGGAGGCAAATATATGAAGACATTCTATTCCATTGGTTGGGGTGAGTGCAACTATCAAACTTTACAAGATGCGGAAAATTTTGTTTGATAGTTAGTGTTATAATAATAATAAGATAATAGTATTGAAAATAACTACCAAAGAGAACGATGCTTCAAATCAAAACTAAAGCTTACTTACACTTGTCCCTGCCTGAAGCAGCCCAACGTATTATTTTCCAACGTAAGATTTTGTTTGCTAATCACTACGGATACGATTCAACCTAGGCTTTTAGCAATTCGGAATTTTCAGCAGTCTGCCTTACCAATGCATACAGGCTTCACCTGCTTTTAATTTACGCTCTCTTTGAAGAACGCCTTTACTGAAATGCTGTTTTTGAATCTTATGTAGGATTTCCACTGACCATTGTCGTACTATTAGTTGTGGTATATCAACCATTTGACTTTATCTCAGACCACTCATGTTGGTGCCCGGTTGGTGGTGTGCTTTTTTGGATTTTTGTTGGCACGATGGGGCTGATATTGCTGGTAAGGTATATATTATTTAAATGATCTGTAGAATGCAAAAAATTATTTTCATATTGCTTTGATTATAAAATTCCGTTTACGGAGATGTAAAGTTTCCCAATTCGGCGGATATTTGCCATTTGCCGGACCCATGTTCAAAACCTGTCGGCATTTACTGGACCGTGTCGAAACGCACATGCACAAATTGTGAAAGGATATCATCTTTTGTGGTAAGAAGTAAGAAAAATGCTCCGAAAGTAGGAAAAATTACCCAAAAGTGAAATGATACATAAACTAATTTTTTTTTCCAAATTGGAATTTATTGTCACGAAAGGCCTTAATGTGTTCAATTCCAGCTCTTTCATAACTACATATCAATGTAGCTTCGGTTTCCCGGATATCAGGACAAGTGGAAGAATTCACATGAAATGTTAAATTTCACAAGTGAAAATCTTTCTCATGAAGTTACTTCGAATAACACATGATAAAGGTTTCAGTTATAATCACACCTGGCAATCTTTGTTAAAAACGCAATCGTTCCAACATTACAGGAAAAAATGTCCTGTATGGGTCTCCTTTTTTGGTGCATGAAACTCATTGATTTCGAGGTTATACCTTGGATATGTATAATAATAAAATGTTTATAATTTCAGATCAACATCGTTATCTTTTTTCTGGCTTTACGAAAAGCTTTGTCATCCAGCGAAGTGAGCACAATCCGTAGTGAAGCTGATACCGTGTTGAGAAAAGCAAAAATCGGCTTGAAAGGTTCCGCTGTGCTTCTTCCAATACTTGGTCTAACCTGGGTGTTTGGATTGCTGGTATTCAATCGAGATACAGTTGTGTTTAAATATTTATTCGCAATATTTAACTCGCTACAAGGAATGATGATATTTGCTTCCCATGTGCTTTTAAATACAAAGGTATATAATCACCTCTTAGTGCTAGTTGTGACTTCACTAGCTAAACTGTCTCGCTGTCTTCAAAATGCGATGTTGTTTAGATATTATGGAGCTTTAACTGTGACTACGAACCTTTAGTATTTTCGCGTCATTTTCGCGTTAAATTTGGTTCTTTTGCCTACAACATCTCTCGAAACTCGCGTTGGGCCGTAGTCTTGAGGGTACGAAATTTCTCAGTAAACCATAGGCAGCCCAATTTTTAAGCGAATGGCGAAATTTCGCCTGCTCCTTCTAAATTGACCGTAACGAAAAAGCATTGCGGGTATTACGAATGATTGACTGAAAAAAGATGGCAAGAAAAACTCCTAATGACGTGAAATTTTAACCCAGTGAAGAAAATAACTTCCTGTTTAATGCCTGTCCTTTAAAAGATGTCGGTTCACTTTTTTAAACGATTTCCGACCGCAATGCATTCTGGTAAAATGTACATCCGCCATCTTTTTTGTTATGGTCACTTGCGAACGCTGTTTCTTATTTCTTATAGTTTCACGACGCCTTCTTGCAAGAAAAGAGAAGTCGTAATGAAAGACGCAATACCTATGCTATGATAAGAAACAATACTTCCAGTAAGTTTAACTTTAAATATTTACATAAATTTGTATAAAACATATTCATGTTTACAGATCATTAGGGACAATTCCTTTTTAATTTTCGTATATTTAGGCAGTATATTACAAACAACAAGTGAATATAGCAGTAGAAAATTCAGTGTCTCACCTCAACCAGTATTCTTGAGAGGAACTTTTGACAGATCAGCAATAAAAGTGGAGAAAAAATGCACCCCAGAAAGAATTACAGACGGTTTAGTCCAAGATCTAGCTATATAGAGGAATGAGTGTTCCATAATGATGGCCAGAGAGTTCACTCAGTGGAAGGTAGTAGTTATTCATAGTCCGTGCTAGGCAAGACAAAAAACCATTCCATAAGCGAGGAGTGAAACTAAGGCTTGTTTTTATACAGCGTGTACTTCTGCAAGCTATAGGGTTTTCATTGTATTGGCGCTCGCGCGTGTTACATCTATTATAATGACAAGATTGGCATTTTTTTACTAAAACATAGTGCTTCGTTTGTTAAAGTTTGCCAATGAAAACAATAAAAAAATTTAAAGTAATGTTATTAGTCGGTAATTTTATTGCATTCCACACGATGCTGGAAGAATTTGAAAACGCACGAATATTCCGCCGGTTAGGCGTACCATCCACACGTATCCGGCGTTTTCGCCCACTGAAAACGGAAGAATATTAGCCCCGTACACACGATGCCGGAAGAATTTGAAAACGCCGGAAGAATATTCCGCTGGTTACGCGTACCGTCCAAACGTATATGGCGTTTTCGCCCACTGAAAACGGACGAATATTAGCCCTGTCCACACGATGCCAGATGAATTTGAAAACACAAGAATATTCCCACTGTTACGCGTACCGTCCACACGTATCTGGCGTTTTATACGTGCATGGACAGCTTTGCCGCATAAAATTGAAAACGATGACGTCAGGCATCAAATCGTTTCCATATTAATGAGGCTTGTTTCACGTCTTGTGATTTAAGCTCAACTTTATATTGCTATATTAGCCTCAAATAAGTCTTATTTAGGTTATTTTCATGTTGAGTAAAATCCTCGCCAATTCTTTTAGCATTTGCAGAAGCATTTTTCGAGAGAACGTGTCTAAAATGTTTGAGTATGGTTATACACAATTTCTTATGCACGACATGCAATTAATAGATACTCAACAACAATATTTATAAGTTCGGGCTGTCATCTGTCCAAGTCCTCATGGCTTATTTTTCACTTTGGATTTGGTAGATTTCTGCTTTCATTTCGATATCCCACCTGTGACACGCGGGTGGAAAACATGCAGGTGTATTGCGGGATCAAATAACTTTAGCGTTCTCGGATCGTTTTTGTGTTTACGTGTGGACGCGGATAAATATTTTAACGGATAAATATTTTTGCGTTTTCAAATTCTTCCGGCATCATGTAAACAGGGCCTTAAAATCGATTTGAAGGAAATGACAGATTCAGCAATTTTTGCCTCATGGGGAAGATTGTTCTAATGTAGGGCTGCACTATAATTGAAGCACCTTTTACTAAATTATTTTTTCGGCATGCATGGTGCTTGATCAGTTTCCCTGTTTCGTACTATAATATCTCTTTCATACTTCAGATGAATTTTTTTAAGGTTGGGTGCAGGCGGTGTGGCCATTTAAAATCTTATAGATAAAAAAAGGCCTTTTGTAATTTTGCCTTACTTCCAGAGGTTGTCAGTTCCATTACTCTTGCGACTTGATTTTGATATTTTTGTAACCTGTCCTTCAGGCCAATTTCACAATTATGAATTTTACCATAACGCGCTACATGTAATCGAAATAAGGCTGCACAGTTGCATGTATGGTACAACATTTTTAGAGTATCCCTTCCTACAATGCAAAGTCTCCAGCTGGAAAAACGACTGTCAATTGGCGTTTTAGCAGCAATTCAAAAAAATACGTTATTATAGCATATAATATATCGTAGGTGATCCCTGCATAGTCAGTTTCACAAAACTCTGTCCAAATCTCATTCACTTTTAGCATCTTTAAAATAAATATTTCAAGTTGAGGCTACCGTAATATGAAATAAAATTCGCATGACATTCAGGCTTTAGCAGACTACATTTTAGTAAAAAATCTTAGCTTGCTAAAGCTTTCAAAATAATAATCTGATTCTCGTTATCTGATCGTGTAACACGCGCGAGCGCCACGCAAACGAACGCTACGTGCAGATGGAAAACATCCTGCTTCAACACTCACTTAACAAAGCCTTGATTTGCAATTACAAATAACCTTGCAGTTGACACTTTGAATGTCTGATTATTTAGCGACAAAGTTAAACACATTTGATGTCAAATTTCCATTTAGCGGCAGTTAGGCAGTAGCCAAGAAACAGCCAGTCGCTGTTCTTTTGTTTTGTTATATGAATATATGCTTAACACAATGCTATAGACACGTAAACGTACGTGTTGCTTTCGTAGTTAGTATACATGCATGTCTTAATTACGAATTATTAAGTACTATGCCTTCCCTGTTTGAAGATACCCTAAAAATTCATTTTTTATATAAAGGACCCTATATTTCATCATGCAGGATGTTCAAGTTAAATGCCGAAAAGATCAAATTAAGGGGCTGTTTACATGAGCCCAGTTACCCGAGATTCAACAAAGCGTGAAACTGACAACATTGAGGTATTGAAATAAGTCTTGACACACAACTAGCACATGCTATTGTTTTGGTGATTATACGACTGCCAGGATCTTGTTAACTGCTCAGTTTAATAGCTCAAAATCATCTCACGCTTCGTTCAATCTCAGGTAACCAGGCTCATGTAGACTGCCCCTAACTCAAAGCAGACCCGTGTCTAGTTGTTCAAATTATAATTTCGCACATGATTTGTTGTAGAAAAATATTTTCTGTAATTCTTTGATATCAGTTCAACTTGTGCTTAAGATTGATTTGCTCATATGTAAACTTTAAAAAATTAATCATTCCTTATAAACCCTTTTCTGGCCAAAAACGATAATTGACGTAGTTTATACGTCAAACCTTGCTCTCGTCGAATGTAATTTCACTAATAGATAATAAAATTAATGATCAATTCGTTTAACCTGAGGAGTAACTATCATGAATATCATCTCATATATTACTTTAATATAACATTCGACGCAAAAAGTCATCCCGTACATAACTTTTCGCAGTATAGCAGTTCAAAATGAAAATTTAACTTCTGTTTACATTTGTGTGTTTACACTGATCACGTTGTACCATATCGTGTTGCATATGCTAAATAAGTAACACTCGAAATATATGCCGCCACTTGTGAGGTGTGGTTTGAACGGAAACTAATAGTCTTTCAGTCAATACAAAACACGTGTGGGAGAAGCATTTGGTTACCTAGTAGCAGCACGTCCGCAGGATCTAATTTTAGATACAAATACACTATTCTGTTTGGTGTGACCCAGTTGCCGTCAATGTTCGACAAGCATCTCATTGCCCGTATGTGAAAACAAGTGTTCAATGTCTTTTTTCCTAGTAACTAATATATACCTTACTAAAAGTATACTAGCAGTAATCACAGATTAGTGATGTGCGTTCGGAATGTGTTGATTTCGGTTACCTATCATTAACAAAAATGTTAACATTATAACGTCACATCGTACGTGATTGAAAGGTTACCCGCAAAATGAGTAATTTGACAACAGTGATGGCTCATATGCTTTAATTAACAATAAAATGTCAAAATAGAGCGAGCACATAGTCTCCAGTTACTATGACGACACGTCAGAACGAGGCAAATCTGACATCGCAAATCTCGATATGACACGGCTAGGAAGCGTTCTCCTTCGTCCAACGCAATGATACGAATTTAAGTTTGCGGTTTCCGTCAACGTTATAAAAATTTGAAGTGCCCAATATATCGAAACCTGACGAGTGTATAAATCTTTTAAACATATGTAGCTATATCAAATTTGTCTAGCAGGCTTGTACAGGCTAGTTACAACAAATTATCCTAGTTATTATGCATGAAATGATTGAAATCAGAAGTTCAGAACCACGTATTATACTTATATAATGATTATATTTAAGGCAGGGCCCCGGTTGTTTGAAATGCGTGTTTAGCTTAGACCGGCGGTAGATAAACAAAATGAAAAACGAATTTATCTATTTATTGAACATTGAACTGAGCCAGTTGAACTGATATTTCGATGTAAATAGCTTTACTCTCAATGCAAGTACATATTGGCACATAAATGCACAAGATGTATGGCAGTACTTATATCCACCGGTTAAGCTAAACGCCTTTCGAAAAAAAAACCCGGCCCCTGAACTGCAATTATTTAATCCAATATAAAAAAATAGAACACCGCCATTGCGTGTCATAAACAATAGTCTCGCCTTAGTGGCTGAGTTTTCGTATCGTCTTCAAGTTGCCTGACTGAAATGACATAAATGATGCATCATATATTTTATTTTCACTATAAGTCGATCCTGGCACAAAGGCCACAATATCGAACAGTGATTGACTTTCGTGTTTGGTACACTTCCTTGAAAACTATCAATAATCTACGACACAAGGCCTATTCTTCTGCAGCAATGCAAACTTTGTATAGTACTGATGGGGATAACTTCAGACTGTTTCAGACGTCGAACTTTTCACTTGCGAAACCTAAAGGTGTTTCACCCATTACCGTCCGCTTCACCGGTCAGCAGAGCGGCCTTTGAAAATCTGCCGTCCACGCGACCGTGACGGGTCTGATAAACAAAGCGCGCTTAGCCCGCGCAGACTGGTGACTGTGTCAGTATTTCAGTGGAAGTTTTAATGTAAACGTACGATGTTAGAAAATATTGTCTTCAAAATCCGGTTAAAACGACTATACAAAAAAAATAAACTTTGAACATCGCGGCAAAATTGCTATGTTTACAAAGATCCGTGTCTGCCGTTTGAATATAACATCATAGTATGTCAGTTACACAAGGCAAATAATGATAATTGAGTGGAGTCGAGATCTCAAAATTTTAACCAATGGCAGCAAGCCGTGGCCTCCATCATGCACCTTATATTTCGATGTGTGCAATGTTAAAATTTCCATACAAAGTTTTGCTATGACACAAAATTTGAGCGTTTTACTACGGACGTGACTTGGGACAATAGAAAGGCATGAGCACTTAGGTCATTGACCGTTTTGTCTGAGTGGGTGTCATATATCAGACCAACGCGGAAATAAAAGAACACTATAGGACGCAAACGTTCTACTTAAAAGAACTTAACGTTGACTTCAACGTTTATTACACATTTAAAATGGCTTCATTTAAACACTTTTTGTTTTTGTTGTTTCGAGCTTTCCTCATATCGCTTGGGGTCTTCAACGTCAGAGGAGAAGGTAGGTTTGAAGTAAATATACTAATGTACCGCCCAGTCCTAAACAGACAAAAAACTCTCGACGTAAGTGCGGGCCCTAACAAAGACTATTAGATCGAGAAGTTCTTCGTCTATTTTATGTTATTGTATTTTTACTACATTTGATATGAAAGTGCATGTAAAAATGTTTGTAGTTGAAAAACAATAGATTTTTTTGTCTGTGCGATCGCATCAATTGTGTGATGCAAGAATGCTATAGATTCTGGCGCTCTAAATCGTGGAAGCTGTAGCCTGCTTCCTGTCAAGTGTACATAAATATTATATATTATGTGTAGTGATATGTTATATCGGACGTTTTAGGCAAAAGTAAACTAAGTAAATTCAAAAACAAGGTTATTCGAAAACGATGCCTTTAAATTATCATGAAAGCGTGCGGGGGTGTCGATCATACTTATGCGAATTAATATTTAGGCAACATATATTGGCTGAGAGTGACAATAGGATTTATGGATTTATTAGAATTTTTATTAGAATTCTGAATTCCAATTTGCTGGCAACACTGAGCAGCTTATAAGCGGTTAATTGGGCGAAAATCAACATTGTTTATTCATTTAGAATCAACGCACAAACAAGATTTCGACGATGACAATAATGAATAATTATTAGATGAGATATCGATTGAGCGTGATTTCTAGAATTATCAAGGCAGAGGTCATAGTGCTATCGCCAACAGAGACCGTGATAATTCCCGATATCACGTGACTGACGAAACCAATAATTATTATACTATTTACCTTAAATTACTAAAAAATTTATTAAATAGTAGTCATTATCATTTTATTTAAAAATTATTTTATAGCTCCGTTTACACTACACTCAATTTATTGACACGGTACGGCTAAAATGGGTACCCATATGCATACCCTGCCTTTGATTTGGTAACCTGAGCACTAGTAAAATTGGGAACGAATACCCATTTTAACCGTACCTTGCCAATAAATTGAGTGTAGTGTAAACGGTGTTAGTGTAGTCTTACCATTATTGCATTTTTTAAAACCGGCTTTTCTAGCGTCAACACTTGAATAAACGTAGAAACTTTATCTGTAGGTAGGCGTCAAAATTACACAATACCAGGAGGTTGTATATACAGTATGCATGATTGTATATATTATCAATCTTACCAATAATTGGGTGTTTTTTGATGAAGTTTCATTGTTTAAAATTTAGTTTAAATAAGGAATGAGCTCCTTGAGCTCATCATCTGGAAATTAGTTAATCCAACAACCGTCGCTATATGTTAATTGTTATTGTGAATCTTTTCTTCTTTTGCAGTTAAATGTCCGTCATCGTCGAAAACTTTTAACGGTTTTTGTTACTTCTTAAATTCTAAATCTTTATCGTGGGAAAGTGCGAACGACAATTGTAAAACCAACGGTGGACAGCTCGCCAGGGTTACGGGAAAACGTCTTAATGATTTCCTGCTGAGAGAATTTAAAGATGGAATAAAAAGTACTGTGTGGATTGGCTTGACATTTCGTAATGGTAAATGGCGTTATCCTGATGATAGCCTATCGACCTATTTCAATTGGGATGATAACGAGCCAAATAATGCACAGGGAAATGAATATTGTGTTGAATATCTAACAAAGGGAAAGTGGAATGACCATACATGCAACACTCCGTGGCCATTTATCTGTGAAAAGGGTATGTCATAATTTAATACACTATGCAATATCTACTAGAAAATTCCACATGAAGTAACCCTGTCTGCAACTCAGTAATTATGAATTTGATATTTTTAAACTATCATAGCGTAGCCAGCCTGACGATTTGTCCCGCTATTATAATATTTTGGTGTTCATTGACTGTGAAAACAATGAAATTCTAAAAACATGAATAATTAACAAAACAAAACAAAAATAATCGATATTTCATACTGTATTTAAAACTACAAGTAATCCAACATTGCGAGCCCGAGCTTATGCAATCATCATTAAAATAACATTGATGATCTTTCCTATATATATAATATATGCAAGGTTGGAAAGTGTTAATTCGACTGTTTTCAAATACTAATACGAAGAAAAAATTTCTCCGGTTTGCATACATTCAATCACTTTCCAACCATGTTATAAACGATTTACGTGGGAATTTGCAAAGGTACAGGGAAAAATATCATACGTGATTGCCTAATAAAATATTTGTTAGTCATTTTTTTGCAATCTAAATTATATCTTAGAGATGGATGAGTGTGCTTCGAAAGCTCACAGATGTCACTCTCAAGCCACGTGCAACAACACCATTGGATCATACACCTGTACTTGTAGTGAAGGATTTACGGGGAATGGGAAAGTTTGCGAAGGTGCCGTAACGATAACATAAGTCAATGTTCATTAAAGATTTTGTTGGTAAATTTTTTGCAATCTATATTATATCTCAGATATGAATGAGTGTGATGTGAAAACTCACAGATGTCACTCTCAAGCCTCGTGCAACAATACCTATGGATCATACACCTGTACTTGTAATGAAGGGCTTACTGGAAATGGGAAAGCTTGCGAAGGTGCCGTAACGATAACATAAGTCAATGTTCATTAAAGATTTTGTTGGTAATTTTTTTGCAATCTATATTATATCTCAGATATGAATGAGTGTGATGTGAAAACTTACAGATGTCACTCTCAAGCCTCGTGCAGTAATACCTATGGATCATACACCTGTACTTGTAATGAAGGATTTACTGGAAATGGGAAAGTTTGCAAAGGTTCAGTAACTATAACATAAGTCAATGTTGTATGCAAGAGTTTGTTGGTAATTTTTTTTCAAACTATGTATATTATATCTCAGACATAGATGAGTGTGTGTTTGACCATCTCGGATGTCATTTTCAAGCCACGTGCAAGAATACCAATGGATCGTACACCTGTACTTGTAAAGAGGGATTTTCAGGAAATGGAAGTGTTTGCGAAGGTGAAGAAAATCATACAACCTGCGATATAACATTCATTTTCATTCGAATGGTTGCTGTGGAAAGTACTATTTTTCCAATCTGTATTATTTCTTAGATAAGAATGAATGTGAGTTAAACAATCACAGATGTCATTCTCAAGCCACGTGCAAGAATAACATTGGATCTTACACCTGTACTTGTTATGAAGGATTCACAGGAAATGGAATGAGTTGTGAAGGTAACTACAGTTTGAAGTGAAGGTGACGTACATAAATGATAAATTTAGATGTGAATGCGCTTTTTGTCTAGAGAAAAGTTCCATCGAAACAAATCGATTTAGCAGTCTCGCAAAAGAAGTAAGTTAATTGCTACTCTACTTCTAAAATACTAACTACAATTTTACCCACGTATGAATTATAATTCATGTAGTTATACTTTTTCAATTTGTTCATACAATTTTCCGGGAAGGCTGGCCAGTTAATTTAAGTTATTCTTTCCACCATTGTCATTCTATTGGTTTTCTCCATTTTTCGTTATATGCTACGACAGATTTTTTATTCGAAATACTTTTTCGTCTATAATGCTTAAATTTACTTATACGTTTTCTATACAGGAGCCTTCAACTTGTAACATGGAGAAATTTCGTTTTAAACTAATCGCTATATTTGTATACATTTTTAGGCAAAGCCAATCAGAATGCCTAAATTTTGAATACTTCATATAAAATGGTATATATTGTACTTTTCATCAAAATTTATGCATTCTGATTAGGTTGTTGAAAATGTAAACAAACTTGCTGATTGGTCTAAAACGAAATTCATCCTTGTTTCCATTTGTATTAAAAAGATTTGTGCACTCAACTCTTTCTCCAGTTGTGGCGCCATTTACTCAGATCTAATTATAAAACAAGTATAAAAAACTCAAGATAAACCACAGTTTTTGGAGTTCCTTTAAAAAAACCTTAAATAAAACATATTTTTTATTGTCAACTTCCTTTAAAAGAGAAATATCACTAACGCATTAGTTTACTATCCTATTTTCAGGTAAATGAACTGCACCGTAAGAATACAACAGTTCAAAAAAAATCGCGCAAGATATCATAGAAGAACTCTCCAATTTAACGGATAGTTCCAACGAAAATGGAGAGAAACAAATTTTGAGTCCTCACATTCTAAATCAGACCGTTGAAATACTTCGGAAAATCATTAATTTGAATATTTCTGATGGCAGTATCAAGATATTGGGTCCTGCAAGTAATATATTGGATGACGTAAATAGGAAATCGTGGAGAAAATTGACGGTGAGTTTTCACGTCACTGCGAATGCGTACCGTTTAATTTTTATTTCTGTCAAAAATTGTTCCAACAAAGAAAATTCCCACTATGGTCTTTATTTGGGAAAAAAGTGCTTTCCCGATAAGACCTAATGATTGGAAATTGGAATTGGAAATCGATTTCACGATGATCATACGCGGGCTCTAATTTACATCCATGGAGGTGCAGAGTCGTTGGCTATTATGGAGTGGGACAGGCACAGATGATTCTTTGGCAACCAGCTGATCCCAAACGAAACTGCGAACTAGATTCACACGTGAAAACGTGTAACTTAATTAGCAACATTTTCATGATCTTTCATGCTCGATCGGACTATATAAGCATGTCTGTATTATGATCTCTATTTTTTGATATTCTGACAATCTTATGATCAAACCGATTCGTTTCTTTCCTCCGTTAGGACGGGAAGTTGATCCGTAATCTGGCGATAATGTTGCAAAAGTATGGACTGCAATATGGAGAGAATTTGAAGAACAACCAATCTATCTCGACTATATTCAACAATCATTCTAACGTACAGATAGGTGTAAAATACCTAAAGGGCCTAGAATTGCCACTTCAGGTTAGAACTTTCGATTTTCCAAATACATCGTTCACTATATCAAACGACGCTCTTCCGAAGAATTCTGGAGCTGTGGTAGTTGTCGTGTGGTATAAGACACTAAATTCACTCCGGAGTGGCAATTATTATGATGGCAATAATCATACAATAAACAGCAAAATCGTCAGTGTCAGTGTTCATCCGCCCCCTGAGCCTAGAATACCATTTGAAGAACCTGTTCGCATCACTGGAACGAAAAGAAACCGGTAATGAAAAAGAAATGTGTAGAGTGATAAGAGAAAATGGGAAGACAATGGAATGGAATGAAATTGTAGAATATGTATTGAATTGAATAGTACGATGTAGTATGGAATAATTTCGAATGGTATGCTCAACTGTGTGAAATGTTTGGGTTTGCGTATAGGGTTGAAGGTCAAACAATTCCAAACTATTCCATCGTATTCCATTTCATTCAATTTGAGGGACAATCTCAATCGAGTACTGCTGTAAATGCTATTTTTAATGCCATTTTAATGTCTGAAATAACGGATGCGATTAAATATGATTCGAAAAATTTAAATCCTAGAAAATAAATTTTTTCATCTTAGGACGAGCAAAGTCAATGTGTGTACTGGAAACCAGAATTAACTGTAAATTTGTGGAAGTCAGATGGGTGTAAAAGGAAATACTCAGATTCTAACCGCTTGATTTGTGAATGCGACCATCTCACTGCCTTCGCTACTATGGACATTTCGGGGAGACGCTGGGTAAGATTTGACGCCAGCATATTCAGTACATAGCATTATATATTCAACATAATTTACTGTCTAAAAATGACCCAATGTTTATTTTCCTTAGTTAAGCAAAGCTGAGCAGGGCGCTTTGGAGATAATATCTACAGTTGGTTGTTCGCTATCATTGGCTGGTGTGATATTGACGATATTTGCCCACGTGTTGCAGTGGAAAAAAATCCACAGAAATGTCACAAGCAAAGTTCCTTCTAAAGTTCTCGTGAATCTCTGTGTTGCCATCGGAATGACAAATGTATTTGCTATTCTTGCAGGACCCGCACGTAATGAAGAGGTTTGGATACCTTTAACTGCCAACTTTTTCAACACCACACTGTGTCGATAAAATATGTTATTGATTTTTTCTTCTAGACATTCTGCATAGTCACCTCTATTTTATTGTACTTTTCTGTACTCGCGTCATTTGGATGGATGTTATGCGAGGGAGTTGTGATCCACCGGCAACTTGTCAATGTGTATGCAAGTTTGAGCCTGGGGGGAAAGTATATGAAGGCCTTTTACGCCATTGGCTGGGGTGAGTACAACGGCATAGGGCCGGAATTTTCGCGCCAAAATTAATTTGAAAATGATTTGAAGCAGAACATAAGAGGGTCATAAGAGGCACTAGTAACACGCATTACTTGAATTCAACCAGGTAAAAATATAATCGTAAACCGACACCACGCTTTTCCTATAAGTAATTGATATCAAGTCTGTTATTCGATGATTACTCGCAAGTAGAGTCCCAGATTCTTTGGATAAAATTAATAAGCTTACCAGTTTGGACAACAGTGAAGACTAAACACTGCTGGAAAGCTATCAATTTTTCTATAATCGGGCACTGTTTGTCGCTTTTTCACAACCTCTTCTCGTTGCATGAATAAGGAGAGGCAAGAATTTGTCTAGAGATGCAGGTGTATTTAGCAGTGTTGATTCTTATGTAGGACTTCCAGTGATCATGGTCGCTGTGTTAGTCGGAATAAATCGCCCAGATGATTTTATATCAGAACACTCATGTTGGTGCCGTGCTGGAGGTGCGCTGTTTTGGACTTTTGTCGCTATCATTGGACTAATATTTCTGGTAATGAACTTTGTTCAAACATTCCTCAAAGAAAATTAAACCTTTTACATCACGAGCATTGACCTCATTCCCAAACCTTTTACTAAAGCTTTCATACTTAATTAATGAACATGGATCTTGTGTGAAGTATTGTGTGTGTACGTTTGTGGGGGGGGGGGTGGGGGAGAAGATGCATTGTGTTGTTCATATTTCCCTTAGCTAAATAACTCGAAACCAGAAAGGAAAAAATACGATTCCTCATCTCATCCAGCCGTGTGCTGATAGATAATTTAGCGAATATGCATGCTTGAGTAGGAAACTTCGTTTTCATCTTTCTTAATTCAATACGGTAGTACTTTAACGTGGAAGTGAAGCCCGTTCAAACCGGTTCTGCTTGTAACAAAGTTGCCCTAAAGTCAAACACGTACTCATTTAAAAGCGTATCAATTATACCTGAATGGTGTTAGACGGGCATCGTGTTTTAAAAAGTATAAACGTTCCTGCATAAAAATGTATACAAACTGTATGTTCGCAATAGAGAAATACCTTCCACTTTGAATATTTCCATAATGATGTCGATAGATACTTAAACATTAAACTTTTTATATTTTTAGATCAACATTTCTATATTCGTTCTGGCTTTACGAAATACTTTATCGTCCAGGGCAGTAAGCATAAACCACACTGATGCTGATAGCAAGCTAAGGAAAGCAGAAATCGTTCTCAAAGGTTCTGCTGTTCTTCTCCCAATACTTGGTCTAACCTGGGTGTTTGGTTTGCTGGTATTCAATCGAGAAACGATTATGTTCAAATATTTATTCGCAATATTTAACTCTCTACAAGGATTGATGATATTCGTTTTCCATGTGCTTCTAAATGTAAAGGTACGTTTTTAATTTTACATTTTTCGAAATACCAGTTCACTTAATAAGCAGTCAAACGCGGCCTCGCGTACCACAGGTGAAAATCTTTTAAATTTAAGTAAAGATAAACATGCCGCATTGGAGAGTTCTTTCAATGAAAGATTCTGCAATTTTTCACAATTTATAGGATATTTTAAAAATTGAGAAAGTAGGTTCTAAGACATAACTTTCAAATCTATGACTATTTTATTACATGTACCAAATTCTGAATTGTTTATAGTTCCGCAATGCTTTCTCTAAAGAAGATAGGAGTTACACTGAAAGAAGCCACAACTACGCTATGGTCCGAAAAAATAATACCTACAGTAAGTTTAACTCAAAATAGGCCTTTATTAAAGAAAGTTGGTGGTTATAATTGTGCAGAAAGTTAATAAAATAATAATTATCTTCATCAATAGAAAAGACATCCTGTCATAAATAGCTCTGGCGACAAAATAATTATAAACATTGTTTTTTTTCCGGCTCTCAAACAAACTTCGAAGGCTAATTGTTGCTATAGAAACGACGGTATCCCACTCGCTATCCTATATTATTTTATCTCTTGGTAAAAAAGAATAACGACAAATATAGAAAAATTAAATACCCTGGGACCTAGCCTGTTAAACAAAGCATGCATGCTCTCGAGATCCTCTCCCCGATAGGGGAGGCATGCCCTTCTTCTAGTCTTCTCCGAATTTCAATCTTTGCTGTGATAATCATGAATCTTCACATTTCGAATAAAAACATTTATGAGAACTTACATGTATGGTTTTTTAAAACTCTATGGATCCCTAGATTGCGCTCTTTAAAGTTAAATAATCTCTAAGTCTCATCATGACGCTTTTATTATTTTTTGTGAATATATATAGGCAGTCCCAGCAATGGAAACTACTATGGTCCTGCTCCAGGGGTAACTTTGAGCGAAACGTTGAGCCGCTCCTCGCCAATGATGAGCCGAAAAAATAATTCTACAGAGAAGATTGATGCAATGACAGCTTAAAATTCGAAAATAAGAAATGACAATGCCGACTGTACAATACCGAGTAAAAAAGAATCGCCTTTTTGAAGATAATTCTCCGTGCCTGGTCTGACGGTACTCGACCGGCTGTGTTTAGACATGACATCTTGAAGGCCTGACCATACAGTGTATAGTGTACAGTATGTTATGAGATAGATCTGGCTCAGTTTCGGATCACACTTTTTGTTTCGCATTAGCTGAATTAAGTATTATTTAAAACATGCGAAGGAGTCTTGTCGTATTTAAAACGCGAGGTCAAAATAAATCACTTCAAATACGCCGCGCGCATTGTTGTTTAGAAATAAATTTGCACCGTGTATGCAAGAGGTAATTAGGATGAAAGTACATTTCATAAATAATGCTCATGCATGAACGTTACAAATTATATAATGTTGCATCCTAATTAGACAGCATTCATGGTACTTTATATCAGGTATGAAACCACCACATTGATTTGCTTATGAATTTGCACACTAAAATGCTCATGAATTATTAAAGAGATTTTTCTTCGCTAGATGCTAATCATTGGGGTGGTATGCGTGACCATCCATGCCCTTGTTCAGCGTTAAACATCGACTCTGCTTGTGTTGAGTGAGTAGGAAAGCCAAAACGTTCACTAGGGGATCTGCATGTGGAAGAAAAGTTGGGTATTTTCATTGAGTTGGGTACTACCATATTATATTACCTCCGCTCACAAACCTTACTTGCTTGCCAAGCCCCCAGCTGGTAATGTCAGCATAATTATACTAATCATAGTACATAATCAGGGGGACCAGAGCTGGTAAATTTTATTATCAAATCCTACTTGATTTAATAATCATCAAATTCATACCAGAAGGGGGCAGGGGGCAGTTGCATCTCTCTGGTAACTATGCAGCTATATACGCAAAGAAAGTATAGTTAAAAGTTAATCCTAAGCATCCCTAGATTCGTAGTGTAAACCCGCCTGTAGTGGTATTAATATTTTGAACAACCTAGAAATTAATTGTTTCCCAGTGGCGTAGCCAGCCTGACGATTTAGTCATGCTATGAAAATGTTATGTTACCATCACTATTCATTTCTTTAGGCCCCGTTTACACTAGAACGAAAGTTTCCGGATTCATCACGAAAGCGGAATGTTTTAGTACCGGATTCATGTTGCTGTTTACACACGCAGCAACGAATCCGATAGAAAATGTACTCGGTTTTAAGCCGTATCCGGAAACTTTGAATCCGTAAAAGTTTGTGGAAACTTCGTATCCAGAAACATTTGAATCCGGAAAATTTTCTTGTGTAAACGCTTTGCACGACGAATCCGAAGAAATTCAATATGACGACCAAACAATTCTCTAAGAACAAGTAATGTGAGTGTAAACGGACAAATCCGCATACAGAGTGTAAACGGACAAGTCCGATACATCATACATGTGTGTAACAATGAATCCGGAAAATTTTACAAATCTGGACTTTCGTTCTAGTGTAAATAGGGTCTTAGAAATTCATTGTTTTCGCAGTCAAGAACACCAATAGCATGACTAAATTGTCGGTCGGGCTGGCTACGTCACGGTTGTGTCCATCTGTAAATATGCGTTGATATAAATATACCCGTCGATGCAATATGAGACTAGCAAAAATTTCCCTCTAAGAAGTCGAGAGCGATTCGCGAATCGTCTGACTGTTTAGCAGGTCAAGGTCTCGTTCGTTAACGGAATTAACCAGACAAATCACTCCACCAACTAAGAACGGCCATGCATATATTTCTAGACTAGCATATAGACTAGCAAAAATTTATTTAAAGACTGTACTGAAGTGACAGTAATTATCGTACTATTACAATAACCTTTTAGCACCCAGCAATTTTTCCATCCGTTCATATTCAGACTGGTTTTTGCAATCAAATTTTCCCGTCTGAGAGGACTTTCCCGTCCCTAATATGAAATTCAGCTATTAACTCGAACAATATACCCTCTTCGTAACTGTCACTGCCACGGGCAGAAGAATATGGGAAAGATCTCCACTTCTCTCCGCTGGCACTATAGAACAAACCACTCTCGATCTCTCAATTCCTGGGTAATTCAGAGACCTATGTGCTCCAGCTTCTCCCAACCCAGCTCATGTTCTTAACTGGTTCAGTTTTATACAGGAATCCCTGTTATTTTTGTGTCAGTGCTATAGTCGGATATCAGATTTTATGGTGAGTTGTCAGTCTGGGCATTTGTCTGTACCATGATCATAATCTTAATTGCTGGTTAGGTATATGCATAGAAGATGATTTTTCACGTTGTGTGTTCTTATATAATACTTATATAGAAGCAAATTCACTTTTCTCTTGCATGCGTGCTTTGTGTTTATAACAAACAGACATCAACAGAAATATCTGATCTGTAAATTCTTCTGATCAATTAAAAATTATTCATTATAAAGTGAATGTCTTGTACGAAGGGATTTGCTGAACCTTAATGTTTATATATTACTTAGATTCTTCCCATAGCGGATTAAACCGCTTCGTATTAGCGAGAAAAGACATAAACTCTCAAGTACTAGGTCTACTAAGAAATCACTTCGAGAGCAAGCCCTTGCAGAGCGGTGAATTTTTGGCAATCACTTAGTCAGATATTCATATATTCGTGTTCTGCATTATTAACTCCTTTTGAAATCGATTGTTTTTACGATCTGCGAACACTGATATAATTATGAATATCTGCCCGGCCCCGTTATTAACGATATTCCGGCGCCCCTGTATATATAGCATAAAGCCTGGTTTCTATTTTGTCGTAAATGTCGTGACGTTTGCACAGTCATTTTTTAAGGATAAGAAATAGCCCAGATTTAAATTAGTTTTGTCCTTATCTCTGTATTCAAAACGGCCATTGTTGTCTTACGCTTATGATATAAATGCTATTGTGAAAACCAAGCTTTAGCAATGTAAAGCATGTTAATGGTGATATTGTCTAAGTTCCCTGTGGATTTGAGATAATAACATAAGACGTGACAAAAAAAAGCGAAGGCCTGCATTTACATATAAACAGGCGGATAATTGCGATACATAGACAGTGCAGGTGTACTGAAGCACAACTATCTTTCGTAATGATAATCATTGCGTTGCTCTCTAGCAATAGATTCTGTCGTGTCAAGAACAGAAAGCGTCTTCTTTGTCTTTTTAATGCGTTATATGCTCTGGCCGCGTATATACTTCAAGTAGCCAAAGAAGAGTTTGCTGCAATTGACTGACGAAGCTTGATGGCTGTGAAATACCGTTTTCCGTTTGTTATTTTGATGTTTTTACTTCGTATGGAATCGTGTATTGGCCAAGGTACTTCGTTTAGCAGTTGTTATGTACAAAAGTTATCGTAATACCGTAAGGCATTATAATTGTTGAGTTACTTGAGTCCAACGATTTAATTTTGACTTCGTAAAAGAAGGGGTTAATTGGCATTCTAACAATATCTTTTTACGCCATAATGGCTAGAAATAACCAAACAATCTTGTGTTATGAATTGACGATGAAAACCATATTCTTTTACCGCTGGAAATTGAATAGACAATCTTATAAGGGCTTACACGCATTAAAGCTCGTAATAAAATCAAATTTGCCTTGTTTTGCCTTGAAAAATATCTGATCGTTTCTTGTGGTAATGAACTGAAGAAACCTGAGTGCTTGCTCTTTCATACCGCAAAATTATATAGATTAAATCATTAAATTCAATATACGCTTCGTAAAGGTCTATTATTCTATTTCGTTTTTTTGAGACACCCTGTATATCTAGAAGAAACTTGTATCACGCAGGGGCCGGTTGTATAAAACTATTAGTATAAAACTATTTAACTACACGTTGCATAGTCAAATCGTAGTTACCTCAGAAATACACAACTGTGATTGGCCAATTCTGTCCTTAACTACACTTAAAAGTAATTAACTAGACTTGTATACAACTGACCCCAGGACCTCAATGAAAAACACTAGTGCAGTACAGGGTGTCTCAAAAAAAACGCAACCACTTAAATATGCGACAACATTAATGCAGCTCTAAAGCGCAATAGATAAGCATAAGCACCTCTGGGAGTCTAACGCCTGTATTCTAAAAGCTCACTCACACTCAAACTTATTGAGTGGGAGATCTTAATCTTCTCATAAAGTTTCAATAGCGGTATTTCCTGCCGAGTAAGGGCTTGATTTTCAGTGATTTACGTTGTATCTTTCATCTATTCAGAAAAAACTTTCTCATTCATCAGCATTAACGAAATTTATATGTCACACTCAATGAGTATGAGTGTGAGTGAGCTTTTTGAATACAGGCGTAAGTCCTTCATTTAAAATGCCAAAAGTCATTTTACCTGAACTACGGTGCAAACCCGAAGAATATTAGTATTCTTGCATATTTAAGTGGTTGAGTTTTTTTTAGACACCCTGCATGTATGTATCCTGCATGGTGTGCCTGTTAGCTTAATGTCAACAGTCCCCACCGCGATTATTAATTAATTATCATCCGTTGATCTCACTCCCACGTTTACTGTACTTTCAAATATACCAGACACAAGTAATGAGTCAGATTAATATAAAGTCATTCGGGAAAGTCATCATTTTCTTATTTAACGCTCAAAAGTGCCGTGATTTTTAACCCTACACTAAACACATAATATGAGATCATTAGGTTAATCTTGGTAATAATTTTACGTCCAGAATCCACAAATATAATCCAGATATTTCTTTTTCCACTTTCAAATATTTCATATAATATAGTTTTTATTTTCCAATAGTATGCCAAGGCAACGAAGTGGAGTCGGACTTCTGCTACGCATATATTCTGCCTTCCAGTGGAGCACTTCGCCTTAGCTGGAACGACGCAGATGCTGAATGCAAAAAAATGGGGGCGCAACTTGTTAGTATTGACGGAACCGAGCTTAACGATCTTCTTAAATCGACATTCAGCAAGTTTGTGAATGATCGCTGGTGGATAGGCATGTCAAAATGCGGTGGGTCGTGGTGTTATCCTAATGGTTACCCAACATCGTACACCAACTGGTACACAGGACAGCCATCAAATAGCAACGGAAATGAAAACTGTGTTGAAATGTGGCCTGATGGAGTGTGGAATGACGCACCTTGTTTTGAAACATATCCTTTCATTTGCGAAAAACGTAAGGTTTATCGCTGGTATTTAATATTGAATATTTCTTCCCTCTCATCCAAAAAGTCTTGAAAAGCAAATCATCCTTCAGACAGCTGGTTTGAGATTATGACGTCAGGAGACGTGAGACGTCTCGACATAACTGTGTTATCACTCGCCTGAAGTCGTTTGTCCCCGTTCTTTCAACTAATAGAAGAAAGGGCGAAATCATTAAATTCCATTTTACATTGAGTAATAAACGAGAAGAAGCCAAAGAATTTAAATTATTTATTTCCATGCAGGCGTTCTTTTGGGATTCTTCATTAATTAGCGTGCTTATTATTCTAACAGA